TTTTTTTATTTTAATAATATTTTTACTTTAATAATTAATTAATGTTCATGTGGGCTGGAAAGTAAGCCAAATGGTTTTCGGCATTACTTGTGGGAATTGGAATGCACGATGCAAAAACGCAAAATCCCTTTGTAGTTTTTCATTTTCATGTGGATCATTGCCTCATGCGAAATCATTAACCGCTGCGTGTGGGTCGACAAACCAGCGGTTATATTTCTCCCTTTTATTTAGCTTTATTGCTTAAGATAGTAGAGCATGATGAACCAAATATGGATAACGATCTCGCATCGAGTTAACTCTTGTTGGTCAGAGTTCCGCAAATGCCACATTGAACCAAACATGCACCAGATTCTATGTTAGCAAAATTGTATATTTATAAATGATTGCAGTGTTTTCCAATTAAAAGGTTTAATTTCATATTACAATTCGCCTTCTTGAATCTTGAATCGATTAATGATTTCGCACGATTGATCCTTATGAAAATGAAAAGTTTCAACGGGGCACCATTTTCGTGCCTTCATATTCCGACGTATAATGCCGAAAACCAGTCGGTTTACTTTAATCCCACAGGAACAGAAATATTTTTTATTAAAATAAAAAATAAAATAAAAATTCAATAGAATTATTAAAATTGAACACAGCAAAGATTGGAATATCTCATATACTCATTTATATATCCAAAACTATTGCTTTAAGGTTCGTTACCAGTTCGTTAAGGTTAATAAGGAAAAAGTATTACTCTACGCTTTCACCACAATATTTTTATTTGTTTACCAATAATAATTTAAATTTTTAATATTTTGCAAATTTCCATTTCTTGAAGGCATATTTAGATCAGCCAAATTTAGAGATAAATTTAGAGGTTAGATGACGTTATATGTTAAATAAATAATATTCTGCAGAAATTCTGCAGAAATTTGCAGAAATTTTTTTTTACAAATTATTATTATTCTTTTGGCAAAATATTGAAAAAAATTAAGAAATTTATCAAAATTTTTGAATAAATTCGATTGTAAAATGATTTAAAATCATGTTTTTTAAAATTTCTTAAAATTATACTGTTTTTTAAAATTTCTTAAAATTATAATAAATTTTTGTCCATTTGGTTGGTTATTTCATTTTAATTTTTTAATATGCAAAAAAAAGGGAAAAATTGTAATCCACATTATTCTGGAATTTTTATTAAAATTATCGTTAGCGACAACCATACGACAATGCCTTCAGATGATATCATTATCACTATAGACTATAGATTGTTATCATTAATAGGTCGCGCTGGCTGCAATATGACGAATCTACACTTTCTGGTTTTAAAAGCATATGGAAAATATTTTGTTTTCGATGATTTGTTATAAGAATGGAATTTTATTCTACGCTTTACCACACTATGACTAATAAATGTTAGAATATTGTAATATTCATGATTATCCGTTATTACCGTTCGTCAATAGCCTCCAATAGCCCCTTCGATACCGACAAGTTCCAGCATCTTTCAGGTTCCATCAAGGAAGTCGAAAATTTAGTACATTGGCGTACCTTTTATATTTTTCAATGTGTTGCAAGTATTAAAATTTGCTTGCCACTAAAACTTACTCAAACTCAATAAGAATTTGAAAGAATCTGGAAGACTTGGATGAATAAAAGAACTTTATGAGCATTTAATACATATATAAGGACTCATAAATAATGAAGGGTCGAATACTGCAATATTTATTAAAGTAATGTTTATTGTACTGTAACATTAATGAAAACGGGCTAAACAAAATATTTTCCATATGTTTTTAAAAGCATAAAATATGGATTCGTCATATAGTTGCAGCCAGCGCGATCTATTATGGCAGTGATAACGATATCATCTAAAAACATTATCGCCTAGTCATAACAGGCTAATGCGAAGAACAGTGTGGATTACAATTTTTCTCTTTTCTTTTTGTATAGAATTAAAACGAATAAATAACCACCCAAATGGACAATGCAATTCGTGCATAATTTGTAAAATTTATTAACATTAAAAATATTAAAATTATTAAAATTTTTTAATTTATATTAAATTTATTATTTATTAAATTTATTATGATTTAAAAAATTTTAAAAAACATGGTTTTAAATCATTTTACAATTGAATTTATTCAAAATTTTGAATAAATTTTAGAATTTTTCTTCGATATTTTACAAAAAAAAATAATTTGCAAAAAAAAAATTTCTGCAAAATTTGATATATAACGTCATTTTGCCTTTGGCGACAATTTAAATATGCCTTCAAGAAACAGAAATCTGCAAAATGTTGAAAGTGTTAATTAATTATTGGTTGAGAAATTTAAATATTGTGCTAAAAGTGTACATTTGTGTATTTGTATATTTGTAAGTGTAAGTGTATAAGTGTATAAGTGTGTAAATTAGATATTTCTTCCGCTTAGACTGTTAATGAACCTTTAAGCGATAATTGTGGATATATAAATGAGGAATTATTTCTATCTGTAGTTTTCAATTTTTCAATTTTTATTTGATTTCTATTTAATTTTATTATTTAATAACAATTAATTTTTGGTTCACGTGGAATAAAAGAGAGCTGGCTAGTTCTTGCCATTATATGTGGGAATAAGAAGATATGATGCAAAATTTTGTCTTTGAAATTTGCCATTTTGACTGGGATATCGTGCGAAATCATCAACCGCATATCTGTCTTCACTCAAATGCGATTTTCTCTCATTATTGTAGAATTAGAGTTCGTAGCCAACGTTGAAACCAAATATGCAGAATGACCACGCATCATACTAATACTTGTTGGTTCACGTTTCACAAATTCCACACACAACCAAATAAGCACCGAAGGTACCAAAACGTTTTCCAATTATAAGGTCTAATTTCATTGTGCAACAATTCATTGTATTTTGTATCATTAAAATTTCTATCGTTCTTGTTTTATTATTTTTTCAATTTTTTTCTGGTTTTTCGCTTTCATCGGATATTATATGATTCATTTCTCATCGGACTGGTGTAAATGTCGTGGGATTAATAATTCTATAATGAAAAGTAAAAAAGTGTAACTGCACATTTAAATTAACATTATTTATTAATGCAAGTAGCATTTGAACGCAGGTGGATACAATCATGTGTGGTTTTATTTGCTCGACGGACTTTTAAAAAATTGGAAAAAAAAGGATAAAAGTAATAAAAGCGACAAACGAACTCAATGAAATATATAAATTCAAAAAAAAAATTTAAAATTTATTTTGAATAAAATTAGATAATCCACTTTAATAATCCACGAACAATTTGCAGTACCATTCCATAAAAATAATAACCATTTTGATGTTGCAATTATTATGCGATTGGTACATTTATCACCTCCTTCCGCTTGATTACAATATTTGCCCACAAATCCACTTGGACATAAGCATTTCGAGCAATCATTTGGATCTGTATATCCATTGTTCAAACAGTATAATTGGTTGTTACAAGAATCTAAAATGTCTGAAATGAATGAAACAAATTTTTATAAAATTTTTTAAAATAGAGGTTCTCTTCATTGATCGTAAAATTTCCTCTTGAATTTAGTAGCTATGGTGGGAATTGTAGAATAATTAGTAAATAATTATGAGTTATAATTATAATTATTTTTTATAAATATTATTAATTATTATAAATAATTATTTTTTATGAAGAGAAAGGAAATAAGTAGTAGTGGCATAAGATGAAAATCATTGAAAAAGTTGTAAAATATTATCAAATTTACTGGAACAATATGCAATGTTTATTGCAGCGGCATCGTAAAATCCGATAGAATCTCGCTGTCCCATGGTTTCATAAAAATTTTCATCGAATGGATGAATTGTTCGATAATTTTGTTCGGAAAATGCCTTAAAATTGTTCAATTTTTTTTCAGATTTTTCCAGATTCTCTTTTTTTTTAGCGGCAAGAAAAAACTAGTGACTTGGAAAATTTTTACTAAATAAATGGTACCTGCGAAGAATAATGCATTATGGATCCTAAGTCATAAGGTAGATTATATTTGATAAGACGATCCCTTTTAGAAAAAGCGCCTCTCATTTCGGGGATTATTGCTTGAAAATCTATTATCAAATAGCTATCGCGATCTCTTCGACATTGTTCATGTATTAATCCCAATATATGACCTGAAAATTCAGATAGATTGGACAATATCATATATATCTGCAAATTTGATAGACTAAAAATTATATCTAAATTCTAATATCTAAGATCTAAAATTTCTTCGAATTAATTCCAATTATTTTCAAGTGGAATGGCACTTTCCATGAAGTACCACAGAGCGTTTTCTCTAAAATAGGCTCTTTAGTTTTGGATATATTGAATTGAGAAGTAAATTATATAAATATATAAATTATTATCATGCATTATCATATTACTATATTAATATCTCAGAAACCTCAGAAACCTCAGAAAAACCACAGAAACATATCTTTTTTTATGTATTGAATAGAATTTCATTAAAAAAATTTTCTATAACGAATGATTAATTATCACCAGTCTCATAAATTGCAACGCCAAGTGTTGCACATTCGTTCGATAATGAAATAATTCTTCGACTTGGTTCATAACCAATATTTGAATAACATCTTAATAAAAAGCATTATTCTTGAACCAATATTAAATTATTGAAAAATCTTTGTCATTTTCGATTTAACGATATATTTGGGAGGACAAGGAAGTGAGAGTGGGATGGGAGGAAATAGGAAAGGTGAAAAATAGGATGGCTCAGTGGATTTTTATCATTTTCGAACGCCTATGCAAGGGTTCCGCATGCAATAAGAGTAAACTTATTTTCACAAAATCCGAGTGATGCTAATGAGCCTCAAATAACTCATGCCAAATGACTCTTCAGTAAAATTAATCGGGTACGACAAGCCAACAGAATGAGGCTAACCAGAAATGGCAAAGTTTCTCAGTAATAAAATGTTTTTTTTTTTTTTTTAAAGAGTCTTTCACATTATTGGTTAAACTCGCTCTACTGTCATTCGGCAATATGCCATGGAATCTCTTGGCGATAGGAATACAAATGAGTCGCCCGGATTTTCTCCTGCGTGGAATCGAACCTCAGAATCAACGCTCTCAATTGAGCAACAACCCATTGAGCTTATATGAATTGATTCGCTTATATGAACTGCTGATTTTTTTATCAATTCTATGGATCATCTCATTTCTACCAACTTTTAAGAAATCTGGAAGAATTTCTACACCGTCCTCACGTTGTTCAGTGATCCGTCTTATGATTACAACCAGAGCGGTCTATTATGATAATGATAACAGTGATAATGATATCATTCGTTTGAAGAAAAAGGAAGATTCAAGAAGGCGAATTGTAATATTAAATTAAACCTTTTAATTGGAAAACACTGAGATCATTTATAAATATACAATTTTGCGTTTGGTTCAATGTGGAATTTGCGGAACTCTGACCAACAAGAGTTAACTCGATGCGAGATCGTTATCCATATTTGGTTCATCATGCTCTACTATCTTAAGCAATAAAGCTAAATAAAAGGGAGAAATATAACCGCTGGTTTGTCGACCCACACGCAGCGGTTAATGATTTCGCATGAGGCAATGATCCACATGAAAATGAAAAACTACAAAGGGATTTTGCGTTTTTGCATCGTGCATTCCAATTCCCACAAGTAATGCCGAAAACCATTTGGCTTACTTTCCAGCCCACATGAACATTAATTAATTATTAAAGTAAAAATATTATTAAAATAAAAAAATGAAATAAAAATTAAATAAGTTTTCGTCGAAGACAACAAAGATTGGAATAACTGCACATTTATATACACAAAGCTATTGCTTTAAGGTTCATTAACAGTTCGTTAAGGTTAATAAGCAAAAGATTATTCCATGCTTTCACTACAATATTTTTCTTTGTTTACCAATAATAATTTAACACTTCTAATATTTTACAAATTTTCATTTCTTGAAGGCATATTTTTAAACGCTTTTAAGAAAATTTAGAGGCAAAATGACATTATATATTAAATTTTGCAGAAATTTTACAAATTATTTTTTGCAAAATATTAAAAAAAATGCAAAAATTTACTCAAATTTTAAATAAATTTTATACCAATGGCCAAAATTATTTATATTGTTTTTTAAAATATTACTGTTAATAAATAAATTTGTGCACAAATTGCATTGCCCATTTGGGTGGTTGGGTGATTCATTTCAAGCTTTTCATATGTAAAACAATTTTTGCTGAGAAGTTGAAATTCGGAACAATACTACAGCTGGGCCATCAACATCTTGTTTTTTAATGGCAATTATACTGCCTCTGGATCCAAGATCTAAGAGTTGAGCCCCTCCCGATGTTCTAAAAGGCGATAATCCAAGCAAAGACCACTTGATTAGCGTACCAATTGTAACAGCACGTGCCACCTCCTATTGATTCGGCTTAATTCGGCTGATTTAAGTTTAAATACGGAAAAAAACTAGATATACTTTTGGAAATTTCTGTTTATACTCGATACAAAAAAAATTTATTTTCGTAGAATTCTGATTTTCGATGAATTTATTGCCATTCAATTTTTTGGCATTTTTTGAAATATTTTGAAGTAAAACAAAATGCTTTAATTTGGATATTTTCACTTCATATTTTACATACTTTTTCAAATTATGAAGAAACATTTGTTTAATAACAAAATTCTCCTTAATTCCATTTTGCCATTTTTGGAATGGTTCAAAGCATTGTCGATTATATTGCTAAATTTGAATCAAATATAGCTCTGAATTCTTCCGCAATACGGAGATTTTTGATTTTTGATGTTTGTTTCTGTCAAAGATAAAAATTAGGGGAAAAAAATAAAACCAAGTTAAATAAACTTTATAAATAAAAATTTTATCATAAAAATTAGATTATATATCAATGTTTTATATATCAATGTAATTAAAAAATAAGAATTATTTTCACTTTAACTTTGTTGTTTCTGTATTCATCTTTAAATTTCATATATGTATATAAATATATTTATGAAAATATTCATTTTTTGTTTCTTTGTTTTTATTTTTCATTTTTTGCTTCTTTGTCCTTAAAAAAATTTACTGATTGCTTAAAAATTTCCAGAAATAACATACAACTAAACGGAACAGAAACAGAAGAGAAATTGGGTTATTTATCCTATATTCTTTATTTCTTCAACGAAAAAGAATTTTTTTTTAATCGTATTTTTCGTCCAACCCGTATTCGCATCTTAACATCACAAATTATCATGAAAAAAGAAATTATCATCGTCAAAAACGACAATTAAGTTTTAAGGAAAAAAGGAAATTTCTTCTTTCTTCTTCTTCTAAGAGCTCTCACCATTACTGTTTAGGCTGGGTCCAACGGCTACAAGGGTAGGACGTAAGGGTAAGACGTTTCCAAATGGAGCGGTCTGATGATATCGTCGACAGTAATGGAAGCATTCCTTTTTCCATCGTCTAATTCCATATATTGCTGGTTCATCTATAAGTTCAAAATCTTTTCTAACCGTATCAGTCCAGGTCTTGATTGGCCCACCTCGCTTTTGGCGCCATCCATCAAACACGATTTAGAAAGTAACACGATTTAACGAAATATGCGACAAATCTTGTGGTAAACAATGCAGAAACATTATTGATACATGTTTGAACGAAAGTGAATGCGATATGACATTTTATCCGCTCGACGAAGCCGTAAAAATATATCTTAAACATGAGTGGTCAAAGGTAGATAGCATCTTAATATCCTCCACTCTCATTGGCCATGTCTCAAAACCATATAGCAAGATCAAACGAATCACGGCTATATAGATACGGACTTTTGTTTTAATGGAAATTTCACGACGCTCTATAAAAGTTTCGTCAACCAAAAAATTAGAATGAAAGAATTTAATTTAGCCATTGTAGATTTAAAAAAATCAATCAATCATTTTTAATTATATATTAAACAACAAAAAGCAAAAAAAAGAAGACCCACTGAAAAAAATCACCCATTTTTCAGAAAACCCATTAAAGAAATGCAAATAAAGCATGAAAAGGATTTTTAGATTGAAAAGAAAGCCTAAATACAAAAATGGTAATAATCAGCTAATCGAAAAAGAATGAATAAAAAAAGAAAAAATCGAAATTTTTTATAATTTATTTACTTAATTAAATACTTAAATTTATAAATATGCATAATTATGTATAAATATTTAAATATTTATTTAATATAAATATTATGCTGAAAGTGGTAATTTTGGCAAATTTCTTCGTAAGTGGTATGGTAATTTTCTGGTGCTTAAACTATTAATAAACCTTTAAGCAATAGTTGTGGATATATAAACAAGCTGATATTGCAATCTTTGCTGTTCTATTTATAATTTTTATTTTATTTAAATAATTAATGTTTAAATATTACTTGATATTTTAATAATATTTAATATTATTAGTAATAATGCAGTTATTAATTATATTATAGAAAACGATAACGATCAAAATTGTAGTCTGTTCCTTACGATGCCTCAACTGTGCGCAAATCCGAATATTTTGGCAGCAGCATTAGCAAAGTGACCTTGAACTGCGGATTATGCAATCAGCCTGGTGCAGGAGTCGTTACCAGATATTTCTCCGAACTGTGCTTTTAGTGGCTCTCGCAATGACACAAATATTCAACGGAATTGCATGGGAACATGCAGCATTAAAACTTGCTTATGTAAATTTTATTTTCCACTAATTATACTGTCTTTAGAGCGAGCGATAAATTATAAATTTATTGCAAATTGCAAAATTACAAATTTTCTTTGATACATCAGCTATATTATATTGCAGTTTTTCTTCTAAGAGCGTTTTTCACTTCTAAGGAAGTTCACATCGTTGTCTGGCCAACAAGTTTTGTCAAAATTTTGTCAATTTTGGCGTCTATCTTGCGAGCATTGTTGTATCAAATTGCGATAAGCTATACAGATTCAACTAGAATTCAAAAATCTTCTTGCCAGCATTTAATTGTTAAACCTAAACATGCTGAATGTAATTAAATTCAGCTACAACAAGAAGAAATAATAAAGTAATTTTCCTGTGCTTAGATTATTAATGGACCTTTAAGCGATGGTTGTGGATATAAATGATATTTCAGTAATCTTATATCTTATCTTTGCTGTTTCCACGTTAACTTCTTTTTCAAATTATTTTGACAGCTAATACTTTAATATTATTAGATGTAGATGAATTGTCGTTGCAAGGTTATTTTTTCATAGAAAATTTTGAACAGTGCTAAATCATTAACCGAATACCGTGGCATTTACGTTGATTAAACAATGTAAATAAATTGATGCAGTTAATACTTTGTCGATTTCCATTAAATTCTTATTAGTCTGATTGGGTCGTTTGGATATTAAACTTAAATCATACGAGATTTGAAGCTTGGATTATTGAGTTTGGACAATAAACCAGTCCAATATAGTAGCTCGTCTAGCCCATTAAGGCATCGTGCGATCAGCAAATGCTGTATTCAATTGTTATATTCAACAGAATAAGCCTAAGCAGGGGTGATAAGCGCTAATCATCATACCATCATATTCTTTTTTTCTATTAATTCCCTATCATTTCATCAATAAAATGCAATATTCTCACCGTGTTTCTTGATATAAGCTCGCGTATAAATTTTTTGAAAATTGAGCCTATTAATCCTTTTATATTGTCCTATTAACTTGGACCTATTAGCCTTCTAATTCACATAGGCAAATTCTGAGATTAAATGAAATAATTCAAATAAACAGACTTACGTGTTTCATTCACTGAAAGTCTCGTATCATTTCTGTAAGATAATAGAAAGCTAATTGGTTTCTGGTAATTGCTATGTATTAATATTAAATACTTAGTGGGCGAAGAAAAGTATTTTTTGCATTTTTTTGCAACAATTTTTTCCTTCTGATATTAATATATATTAATTTTAATATCATATACATGGGAAAATACATGGGAAAAAAAAATTGAATTTACTCGTATATATGTGTTATTTGCTGTGATTCAAATGAAAATAAGCGAGCTAAAGGGATAACCAACTCTCTCGAGGATTTTTTCTCATAGAATGATATGATAATGTGATGTGCTAACCAGTAAATAGATGTTATACGGCTTTGCATAGATAACATCGCTATATTCTTGACAAAGTCACAGTATTAGTATTAATATAAGCATTATAAGCACGAATAGTGAAATGTCGATAATTATTTTATAACCCCTTTCCCTTCTAATTTAAATTTTTTCTTCGTTATGGAAAAAAAAATGCATAGAATTCAGTTAGCCTTTAACCGCAGAGGAATCACCACTAATGCATAATATATATAATTGAACGTGAACTTACTCTGCATTATAAGGAGGAAAATAAGAAAACTGCGTAGAAAGATTTCTTAAAACTTGATGGTGGAAATCACCGATTAAACGATTCCTTTATATGCACCTGCAATGAATCGTTTTGAAACTGAATTTTTGTATTTTAATAGTTAGAGTGACTGGAAATCAAAGATCCTCCAAACCACTTAATGACGAGTAGAACTGACCTATGAAACAAATTTATTCCCACTCAGCATGGACGATAAACGATATTCGCAAAAATCACGCGGCTCTTTTGCCCCAAAAATATTATTCATAAATGCAAATTCAATTTCCATCATCGACCGAAATTTTTGGCAATAAATAATCGGAATTCGGTAAAGGAAGATTCCAAATACGATAAAAATGTTTTTTCTTATTTATTTTTCTTATTCACTACAAAATAAAACATTAGACGATCTCTATAAAATTTATTGCTTTCAATGGGAATATTCAGCTGAGCAAATTTATTTGAAAGGCCTTGCATTTAACTTTGGAAAAAAAAGAACGCAAAATTTACCATTGCTCAAAGGAATGGAACCATGATTTGAGTTCGAACCAATCTGATCCAGTGGATCCACAAAGGCAACTGCACCTCATGCTACTAATATTCTTCTTTTTCGCAACTTTGGATTTGGATTTGGACAATATGGATTAATGCTGTTCCAAAAGATTGTCGCTTTGCTTACGCGCATTGGAGAAAAACAAATCATCACGCATTGGTCAATTTTTATATTTATATTTACCTTTTGTTTTTCCAAAATATAAATTAGTGATAAACAACTGGAAAGATAGGAAATTTTATAACGGATTATCATAACGAAAACAATGGAGCAAACACCAAAATTCAGATTTAATGAGGACCTCCGGAAAGTCACACCCTGACCTTCGGAAAGTCACACCCTGACCTTCGGAGCCACACTGACATACCGAAGCTAAATCCAACCCATCCCAGCCAACGCTGAAAATGGGATTTCGTTAACGATGCAACGAAACAAAACTTTTTTGTAACACGTTCACACTACCACCAACTATTTGTCGGTTCTCTAACGAATCAGTCTATCGAAAGGCTGTCAATTAGAATGTGTACACCAGTCATAGCGAATAATTACGGTCGCAGCTCGACATTGGAAATTTTACGGAAGTGGTGGAAAGTGGGCTTTGATGAGCTCAAGTGGGGCTGGAATGGCTTAAAAAAACACTGGTACCTCAAGCGGATTACCATATTTCTCAAATTTTATCATTTGCATCCCTTATCACCATTCTTTGCTAAATTTACTTGGCCACTGGCATCACCAATTTTCCTGGCAATTTTTTCTTAGAAAATCATTTGGCGACAGAAGAACAGAGAGATCGCCAGCTTCACTCGGATTTTCTAATAATAGATTTATCTCTGTGGCCATTACTTTGTCTCTCATCTGAAGACTGAAGCAATAACTATTTTGATCATTTGCATATTTTTGATATAGGAAAATGAAAATTTTTTTACTAATAAAAGGCCTTAAAACATCGACAAATATCCAATTTCATGAGGTAGAATGGTTCAATGGTGAGTTGAACTTTGATTATCAATTATCAAATCAATTTTTTTGCACATAAATTCAAAACTTATTCATAGCCCCAAGGAGTTTTTTCATATATTATTAAAATTAACAATAACCGACATTGCAGAATTATTTTATTTAAATTATTATTATTTTATGGATGTTTATTAATACAATATAACTGCAAAACAAACTTTTTGAAATGGGCAGTCAATAAGAAAAAATTTGATTTTTCCTGCGAAAATTTGAAATGTGATAAAATTTATCTGCTTTATCAACTGATAAGAGATTGATTTAAATAATTATTTTACCAACAATTGTAATATTATTTTAAATAGTATTATAATTAATTTACTAAATATTTTACTAAATGTAAGAGAAATTCACTGAAATTATTTGTTCGTTCCTCAGAATTTTTCCTTATTTATTGAGAATTCTATTTTTTTAGGCAAATTTACGTTTTCTTATTAAATGACTGCTTTATTTTACATGGGTTTTGCCAAACAAGAAAGCAGTTATTATGCAATTTTTTCCTGTTTTTTTTATTTTTTTTTTTATTCTGCGTGAAATACTTTACGAATTTCATTGCTTACACCAGACCGGCACTTTTACACCCCTTTATTTTAGTTATTTAAAACGAGAGTTGGCAGAAAATTTTTAATCTTTAATTATTCTCAACAAATTTGCAATTCCGCGACCAACGAAAATTGGAAGAAGAAGGATGCCCATTGGCAAAAAATTTTGGAATTTTCTCGAAGAAATTTTCTTTGGAAGAAATTTTCTTACAACTATTTTTAAATTCCAATGAATTTTGGAAAAAGAATTAAAAATAACACATGTCTGCCTTCAAAGAATAAACTAATTTTGCAGAATATAAATAGCAGCGGGGAATTTGTTGGTTTTTCGATTATTACCACCTTTGCCTTTCGAATTTTATGCCATGCAACTTTACATATGATTTTTTAAGTTTCTTTTAGGCTATTAAAAGCGAATTTAGTGGAAGCAGTAGAATCCAAATTAAGCGATTCCTGTTAATGAAATTTTTTACCAAAAAGTGAAGAATGATTTTTCCTAATTCATTATTTGGCATTAAAGTTATTAATTTATAATAAAATAATTAATAATTTAAAAAAATTTATTGCATAAAACTGTGGTGAAAATTTTGTGCCAATATAATTTGGTAACTTTGATAATTGTTTGTGCTTGACATTATCATGTATAAAAAGCATAGTACGGCCAAAATTTATTAGAAATTACCATAAAAAATTCCCGCAAAAAAAACCCATCCGAAAAATATCCCAGAAAAAATATCCTCAAATAGTCCAAAAAAGACCCCCTCTCCCCCTATTATAAACAATATTGTGATAATTTTAATAATAATAATGACTATAAATTAGTGGTAATAAATAATATTAATAATAATAAATAAAAATGATAATAATAAATTAGCTTTTTTCATTTTTTACATGAAAATATAAACCATATAAGGAATATAAGTAAAAAATGATACTTTATGAAGATATTTATATAAATTTGCATAGAGTAAATATATATATATATATAAATACCATAAATAAATAATTATAAGATTTGATGATAATTTATCATCAATTCCGGAAATGTTTGCCAAAAATGGTTCGATAAAATGATTGAGACAAGCATTTTTAGCTTGGCTCTGAAAACAAATAAACAACTTACCTGTACGAGTTCTAAAAAAGTTCCATTAGTGAAATTAGAAGAATTAAATTTCACGTTACCTAATCAAAAATTTACAAGACGTATACGAATTTTCTCAGCTTAGAGAATTTGGAATATTGTTCTACTAGAAACATTCACCACTCCTTTTCAAATTTTTTGAATATTTTTCAGGTCTAAATCAAAAATTTTGATAAGATTCAATTATAATATTCAATTATAACTTATAATGATAGTGATAGTAATCTTATCTTAAGAACCAACGGCCACAATCTTTTGCCTGAACTATAAATCCTGCTCGCCCACATAATGAACCATTTTCTATAATTTCTGACAATCACTTTACTGCCAATTTCATGTGATCTCAATTCTCAATTAAATTTTTCATTTCTCAATTTTTTTTTTTTTGAACGATGCTCATATTCTAAATGCACTTAAATACTATTTACGATTTAGATACTTACTTACGACTTACTTGTTACTTACTTATAGCTTAAGAATACTTACGATTTATAGCTTCAACAAAACCCTTTTTTTGACCAGCCTAATATGATTTAAATTATCTTATTAGATATCAAATAGTAAATTAACTATAAAATAAAACTGACTTGGCTCATTGAAAAATTTTTTGAAATATGGCATGTTGATTTGTAGTTCGGCAATCGCTCCATACAATTCTGAGCGTACAGTAAGAGTTGGTCCCTCAGTGTAGAGTTCGTGCAAACACTCGATATCCTTGCGTATTTGCGAAAAAAGCTTTCTAATCTCTGTTTTTGGCTTTAAAAAAAATAAAATAAAAAAGAATTATGAATTATATGAATTCATCGTAAAATTCAATTTGCTATAAGTAAAAATCAAAACTTCAAAGGAAAAAATTAAAATAAAACATTTATGGTGAGTAGTTGTTCGTTAAATTTTACGGTAAAAGTTATAAAGTGGTTCTCTCTTGGATCATTGAAATTCTCTTTTTTTTTTTATCATTTTTTATCATCTCTGTTTTTAAGGTTATTCTTATAGCGCCAAGGATAGTATAAAATTTTACGCATATTTGCAAACCCTCGTGGTGCTTCCAAATACTGTCTATTTTCCAAAAAATTTACCGCAGTACCGTATCATACATTTTGGAGAACCAGTAATTATCAGAAATCAATCTTTCAAACCCACTCAGATATGTTTATATTTATTAGTGAACAAATATAAAAATTCTTACTGGTTTTATGTCGTATGGATAAAATGTGAATAGTGCAGTTAGCAAAGCCAGGCGAATATTATCCAATTCAATTTTATTAAAAACATGCGCAAGACGAAGAAATCTGCAGATAATGTCGTACTGTTCGTCATTCATGAAATCTTTATGATCCTCTTTAAACACACATCCAGAAGGAAGGCATAAACATTGTTCTGATGGATCATATCGATGAATAATTAAGAGAACGTTTATCTTAATCCATAAGCTGCCATCGAAAAGTTGTTGAAGTGTAGTTTCATCAAGCTAAAAATATTTAACTTGCTAAGTCAACTTGGCTAATAAATTCGCAAAAATTAGAAACTATTAAATTATATTTATTAAATATCAATAAAAAAAAATAAAATAAATTCGACCGTTTCGTATATTGGAAATGTTTGAGCAAATTTTATAATAGGTTCTTTTAAGGTTTCCTTTATTATTTCCATTCTCTTCTTATTATCGGCCATAAGTAATCGTTCAGCTGGAAGCTGAAAAATAACAAAATGAGGGCCATGAGAATCAGATAATTTGTGCTTGGAGCCAAAAAAGCGTAGTGAAAAAAAGACCTTTTGAGGCGTATCAATGATTTTGCAGTAATTTTTTGCAATGGTAACGGATCTGGCTAAGCAATCCTCTTCTGCCATATTCGTTTCCTTTATCAGTGATTCGTATACTTTTTCTAAGTGACGTCGTTTCCGATTTTTACTTATCAAATCTCTTTTAGCTATTCGTTCAGTTTCTCCCATTACCACTAAACAAACATTTATTTTATTGTGAACGTCGTACTCCCCTCATTTTTCAGGAATTGAACGAATTGAAAGGCATCGGTGCATCGAAATGATTGCAATAACCACTAAACCATTCTACCGAATAGTCCCAATTCTTTATAACTGTTTAGACAATTTTACTATTTGTAACAATCATCAAGATATTTTAAAGTCTCAAGTTTTCCTGTAAGGCCTTATATTTCTGAAAAAATAGCTGAAAGAATTTACATAAATATTTGTTTTGGTTGTATATTTTAATAAATAATATAGATAACATTTTATTGATGGAATTGATAAAAATGTTGATATTAGGCTAAAGTTGATAAAGCTGATAAACTTGATAAACTAACAGTCCTTTGACATTCCATTTTTAATGCATTTCAAAAAGCGGCAACGTTGACAAATATTGCGATTATTCTTTGTGATAACACAGTTTTCATCTTCTTTACAAATATATTGAATTTTTCTCTTCAATTTTTATAATAATTAATTTCTTCATGAGAATCGTTGAAAAAATTTTTCAATAAATTGTTGGAAAATTGTAATATAACCATTAAATATGTAACCATTGATAACCAATAATCTCTTATCATTTATAACTTAAATCTACAATAGCTTAATCTTCCAGTTATAACAACTTTCATCTAACGGCTTGTATAATTACTGGTTAGGCTATCCTAACTGGTTACAAAAGTGAACGGTAGCTAGGCTCCTCTGGCAAGCATACTCTAATGATACTTTCATAGACTGCATTTCTACGAAATAATTAATAATTAAAATAATAATTATTAAAATAAATAATTAAAATATGTATGGATTTTTATGCATTAAATATCAAAAAGTTATTCAGCATTAATCATAAAAATTCAGATTAAAAGTTCAGATTTTTTAAAAAAATTTATCAGAAATCTTAACCTGCACTGTTCTACGAAAAAATCCTTTGCAACCTTCACAGGTAATTGCCCTAAAATATTCTTTTAAAAAATAAGAAATGATAATAAAGTGATAAAGTTATTTTATCAGTTTTTTGCACCTTCAACCGTATTCTGCGTATTATCTCTTTTTTTGACAAAAATTCTTGTTTCAATAATATAATTGCGTAAAACATTGCACATTTTAGAATCTAATTATCTGAATAACTATTCTATTCAATATGACCTTTCATCATCCGAATTAACAAACGTGAAGGAATGCGTTAAAATGGAAGTTAAGGTTATGCTGAAGTTAAGGTTAATATAGTTACCGTAAATTTATTTAAAAGTAGAATTATATTATAATAAATTACAAATATTGCCGATTTTTATCAATAAATAGCTAACAGTTTTATCAATTAACATTATTAACAGTTGAATCTCATAAATTTTTATATTAAATGTAACAATAATAATGAAATTGAAATAATAAAATGAAATAATGAAATAATAAAATGAAATAATGAAATAAAATAGAACTGGAAAAAAAAATGATTGGAAAAAATCTACAATTTTTGAAAATTTGAGTATTACTCGTCAAAAAATTTATAAAATTCCAGATAAAATGAAATAAAACCAATTGTTACCATTGCGATCCTCGAAAAGATTTAATATTAGTTCTTTTTTTCTAAATTCATTTTTATTTTAAATTATTATAAGTAAAAATTAAATCTTCAAGATGTCTTTTTTATTTAAAAAAAAAATAAATTTTAAAATATTAATAATTAATTTAATTTAATTTAAAAAATAAAATATTAATAATTTAATTTTGTTTAATTTTCTTCCTCTTCAATTCGCATATATATTTAGTTTGCTTCTAACTGTAATGATAAAAAAAAGAAGATATTTATCGCATAAGGATTTCCAAAATTCTGTGAAAACTTTATGAAATAAAAAATCTTAATAATAATAAAAAATCTTTTATTTTTTCTCTATTATGAAATAAAGAGCGCTGTTTCTCTGATTAAACTCTCTGTTTGCTAGGATAGGCAAACTTTTACGAAAGGGGATTTATTTGGTTAGCAGTAAAGATGGTTCGGCAATGCCACTTTTTGGATTTCTACTAGGCAGATTCATTGCTGCTGCTAGGAATATAGGACATTCGCTCATCTCGAACATTCGTTTTTTCTTTCGCCAATTTTTTTTATAAATTTTTACTCAATAATTTTAATTTTTCTTTTTGTCCAATTTTTTCACCAATCATTGCAAATTTGCAGGTAAATATCTAATTTTTTTTAATAATTAACATTTTTATTTATTTATTATTTATTTTTATTTATAAATTTTTTTATTAATATTTTTATTAATATTTAATGTTTAATTAAATTTTTAAAATAATTTTTTTTCAAAATCTAATTTATATTTATTTTTATTTTTGGTTAATATTATTAATTCTTAAAAATTTTCGACAAAAAAATTCTATAAAATTTCATATGAAATAAAACTAACGGTAATTAATAATTAGTATTTTATATTTATTAAATTCATTAATTTATTTTTCGTTTCAATAAATAATATCTAAAATTATGAAAATACAAAGTATAAAAATAAAAATAAAATTATAAAATTAAATTAAAAATATGAAAACGATAAATAATTTAATTTATTCTTTTTCGAGAAAACTATAAAATAGGAGATGATAAATTCCATTGGTACCTATAGTGAAGTCCAGTTGCTTTATCACTGCATACAACACAAAGTTGTCCAGGTTCCATATAACTTGGAATGTAAGGCGTCTCTGAAAATCGAACAAATAAAAAATTTCCTTACTTGCATTATGCAATATTCAGTAACATCAATTGCTCATCTTTTTATCATCCGAAATATATTACGGTATAGACGGTTGCGTAACAGAAATCTGCTTGCGACGCAAGAAAGAGAATCGCCTATGACGTACGAGTTACGCAAGTAAGAATGCTTATATTTTATTTGCAAATCTCATCTAAAATTTTTACCTATTTATTCGCGTATGAAATAAGAAACACCCATCATATGTTATAATATTCGTCTTATTTTTCGAGGTCAAATTATTCTAAAATTATTCATCGAATTTTCAGTCAACGAAGAAATTTCATCTTATAACAGTAAATCCGCCCATATCGCAATTCTTCAACTCCCATCTGCTAAATTTTTATCCAATGAATGTTGAATAAAATTACTATCTGCGAAGAAAAGCAAATAGATTTATGCAGTAAATTTTTTCAGTAATTTTTCAGTAATTTTTTTCGCATAATTTAATAACTTTTTGATTTTATTCATCAAAAGACAATGAACTATATAAATAAAATTTGGTACCAGAAAACAATTGAACTTAGAATCGACATTGAAGAAAAACAAAAAGTTGGTACCAAGCAGTCTAAGATGAAAGTAAATAGATTAAAGAAAAAAGTAAAAAAAAGGTTTCAGTTCACATATTTGAATTTTTATCAAATAAATTTGGGAAATTTCAATAAAAATTTTCTTTAATTTCCAATGAAAAAATATTCTATGAAAAAATAAATAAAATACTTTGTATATACTTATACTTTATGAAAATCAAATGAATTATTATTCCCTAAATTTTGGTTTTGTGATTTAGGCCAGCAATAATTTTTATTCATAATAATAATTTATTCATAATAATTTTATTACAAAAATAATATAATAATTAATAATATTAAAAAAATAATGTAATAATTAATAATTAAATAATATGATAATAATATAGTAATTTAAATAATTTAATATATATAATAGAATAATTTTATTAAAAATTTTGAATTACTAATCATTTATAAAAAAATATAAAAAATATAAAAAAATGAAGGACGATTGGTGATCATTGAGAGTCAACGGTTACTGTGTTCGATAGGAGTAAAGGTATTATTTAAAATATCTGAGTTTCGCTAACGCCTCACTTGCATTTTTATTTCCAAATAACTCCAAGCTAATTTAGAAATTTCTAAGCTTATTAGGTAGCCTCATCGAGAATAATAAGCCTAAACTTATATATCAATAATAAGCCTAAGCCGAGGCCTAAACATCTTTTAAGCTTTATTTGCTTCATATTGCTTATTTTACAGGAAACTCTGTAATATAAAAGTAATAATATGATATGAAGAGAATAAATGAATCGCTCAAGATCATGAAATTCATCTATCTAACGCCATGATATCTACGTTATTATTGATATATAACAGCTATTTGGCGCCTATTGGTAGAAGAACCGGCCACAGTTATATCGATCATTGCGAAATTTTATAAAATTCCAATTAAATAAGAAAGTAAGACCATGATAAGAAAAAAATAAATATTTGATATTATGGAAAAAATATAAATAAATATTAAAAATATACTAAATAGCTCGATAAAATCGATTTGGCACCTTGGGGGAAAATATTATTTGATGAACGGAAAACGAAAATTTTAGGCAATTTTCTTTATCTGCACCTCCAACCACTTTCTGATCTAGCTTGTCGTATTTGCTTTTAAAATGAGAACTCCTAGCTAGAGAGTGATTTAATGATAGATGAATCCCAAGTATTCTATGCATGTTTCTCGTGATGGCAGTTTCGTAACCGTCAAAGAATAGGACCCAAACCTATGATGGCTTTGTCCTTAGTCGAAATAATATTCTCCACCACAGTTTGGTGCCCTATCATTTTAATACATTCTTTTTAACATGTAATAACCATGTAATAATGCTATGTCTATTAAATTAATCGACATAAAAAAAGTGGAAAAATTTAATAAAATTTATTTTTAAGAACATAATTTTAATTTTTAAATTTTAATTTAATTTTAATTTTAATATTCTAACTTAATTAATATTAAATTTAACATTAATATTAAATTAATATTAAATCTAAGGAGGAAACAAAATTTTTGAAGCACAGTTATGTTCAGACTTATCGTAAACCATGATTATAAATATGATAAAGCTTTTATTACAAATGTGTTATTTTCAGGAGAAAATCAACTGATAAAACGATAAATCAAGTAATTTATTTAAGAAAACGTTTCATATTTTAATAAATTGAGCATAAAAGGTTGAAGGCATTGATTTGCAAAATCTGAGATTTTAGTACCAAAGGAATTAAAATAGCTAAAACTTTATAATTATTTAATTATATAAATACAATATTATTAAATAAATAAGAATTAATTAATAAAACTTTAAAAACTTTATATTTTTTATGAGTAATTCAAAAAAATGAAATTGTTCCAAAAGAAACTGCAAATTTGAACTTATGAATGAGCAGAATGGCTTGGTGCCTTGTTGCTTTCATATAGGAATAATATGGCGAGTTCCAGGATCTACGCCAGTCAGAATTAAACCTATCTTTCAAAAATCTGAATAATGTTGGTGACTTACCTGACTTATCTCTATTGCTAGATCACTCTTTGGTCTGGTCCAACAAGCTAGTGGAGCAAAACGAAGAAAGGATGACATATTCAATTTTTAGAAAAGGAAAAGCTTGAAAGGAAAAGTTTGAGCTTATGATAAAAGAAAAACCTTTATTTCTTGCACGTTTGCGAGTTGCTAAATTGTTAAACATCCGCTTTGTCGAGTTTATTTGTCGATTCTTTCCAACTTTAGTCGTCGAATACCTCTAACGAAACACTTTATAATAATTTATGGTCAATAGGCTTAGGGCAACCCCGCCCCATTAGGCAGTTAAAAAGACAAACGAAATGAAAAAAAGTTACCATCAATCTATAACCTCATCTACGAATCAACAAAATAGGTCTATAATTTATTTATAAATAAAAAATATTACAGTTAAGAACGGCAATTAAGGCCTAAGGCTTGAAATCTTAGGCAGTCAGGTCAAATAGCGTTACGTTTCTTCAGTCCTTTAGGCGATTAGCACTAAAAATATTCATAATGCTTTTTCTATAGATCTAATTTTTAATTGTTTCTTGTATTATTTTTAAAATAAATTTTATTTTATTATCTACTTATTTTTTTATTAAATTTCTCATTGTAGATAAATAAAAAGTAGTCGATTGGTTGTAATTTAGGCGTTAGAGAGAAAATAGCAGAAAAAGCGCTATTTGCCTAAGGCGATAAAATTTAAACTTCTTAATTATAATAAAAGGAATATCTATTTCTAAATTTTTTAATTTCGAATGATTTATTCGATAAATAAATGATCAATTATTGGGGTGATTTATATAAATAAATAAAAAATTGTTTAAATAAAATGAAATAAATCAAATAAAATAATAATAAACATAAATATAATAAATATTAATATAAAGAAATCGGTTTTTGATAAAGTTATAAAATTAAGGCATTTTATTAGGCATTGTAAATAGCGCTTTAATCAAAGAAATATGACAACTTTTATGAATCTCACCTGCTCCTACAAAACATTCGAAAAAAAAAACACAGAATATGGGAACGATAATTTTATATATTTGGCTTATAAGTATGGTCATGGATTAAACAAGAGATTTGTCACAATTTAGCTGCCTTTTTTGCACCAAATCCAGAATTTTTATTGAATTTTATGAATGAAAGGCATTTTATTTATTAATTTTAATAATATTTAATATTCATTTGCAAGGAATAGTGTCTCATTATTAAAAATAACAGTTATTAAAATTATTAAAAATTATTGTTATTATTCATTATTATTGTTATTATTTATTGTTATTGATATTATTGTTATTATTATAATGATAGGATTTTATAGGGTAGAAATGATAAGAATTGATAAGTTTAAGTCCATTTTAAGTTTAATTTTCAACAATCACCATTTATTGCCACCAAACAGCACCAACCATTTCTGGTTTGCCTCAAATAATCATTAAAAAATTTTCCAGAAAATCATTTAACGATCGAAGAATCCTGTTGTTCGTACAACTGTACAAACATATTAAAGAAATATCAGACAAACAAACATCATTAGCCGATCAAACTCTTATAATAAAATATCCATTGTTAATCTCTATCTGAAAAATTCTCTATATTTTCGCCAAAAAGGACTCCATTTGCAAGGAACAGCGTAACCATTCCAACATCACTATAACTGTATACCAGCCATCTATATTCCTAAAATATAATAATTTGAGCTTTTTGCATATTTCTATGAAATCACTTGCTGAACAATATTACTATTGTTCTTTTTGTGCATATAACTTTTAAGGATCCAAAATTAAGCCTTAATATCAGTTGGAAAAGTTTAATCGCTTATCAGACAATTAGAAAATCTCTTTTATCCGATTATTCAAAGAATTCACTTATCAATACCAATAAATTTATGTGAAACTGAAATCCTACATATGCAGCAATTTTGAGCGATCATTTTAAAATGAGTACCATAGTTTTAGAAAGTGAAACTTTGCAAAATGCCGAAATTGAAAGGTAAAAATCTAGTTTTTAACGGAAATAGCCCAAGGGCGCGGAACAATTTCAAAAGGATGCATATGTGCAATGCAATTGCTGAATAATAATAACTTCATTTATTATAATAATAAATATGCTTCCAATCGCCAAATTTTTATTTCTGCTTTTTAATACGCATATAGTAAACGGTGAAATTATGCAAAAACGTTTATGGACTCTACCAATTAAATACCGAATAGACGAATCAGGTTTTTATAATTTTTTGTTTGCATTTTAAATTACATTTTTATCAATAGTTAATGATAATTCTTATCACCAAAATAATTTTAAGCTTTCTGCGAGGAACCATAATATTACCATAATAACAAAAAGTAAAAGTTTATTGAAACGATTATCAAGACCAATTAAGAAGAATCTTGTTTCAATGATTTCCTTGATGTTGCAAAGAAATTCATCTTATTTTATGAAAAATTCCTAAGCAAAAAGATGAAGTAATATGTCGTTTTCGCTTGGATATTAAGTAACCAGGACTACCTGACGATAGTCAGGCTAGTGCGAAATGATGTTGGAAGAATAGGAAAATCTGATATAAATAGAGGTGCTGGGAAAACCCTAAAACTCCTAGGCTTTTGGTGAAGGATCAAAGATTAAAGTGACAAAAGCCCACCAAAGGATTGCAAATATATATCGAGAAAGTCAAGAACTTCGTTTCATCAATGGCCTTGATTGTTGCGAAGAAATTCGCTTTATTTTTACGAAAAATTTCTAAGCTAAAAGATGAAATAGTATATCAAAAACTGGAAAAAAACTAGCAAAAATTTCATAAATTTATTTTAAAAGACTAAAATTTTTTAAAAAAATTTAAAAATAACAATAAATAAAATTCAGTGAAAACCTCGTGAAAAATAATTTTTAGTGAATTTTACGATGGTTGAAACAGCTATCGAAGCATGGGAAAGTGTGACATGTGTACGCTTCATAAAAGTTCTATCATTCGCTGAAGATACCGTACAAATTATCGATGGTGGCGGGTAATAAAATTTCTAGTCTTAACAGCCACTGTTCACTGTTCTAATTCTTTAGAATATCCCTTTCTTAACTCTAAAATGACATCCTTAAATTATCGCTAATTTTGAATCATAGCTATTAAAAAAAAGTGATACTTATATTGCTCGGTCGTTAAGCCTAAAGTGTTAGAAAAAAAATTGGAAAGAAAGTTTATTATGTGAAATTTCGTTGAATCATCTATATCATCATTCTATTGGAGATAGGATGGCTCAGTGGATTGTTGTTCAATTGGGAGCGCCGATGCTGAGGTTCGATTCCCTGCAGGAGTAAACTTGTACGAAATCCGGGTGATGCTGGCGATTCACCTGTTTTCTATCGCCAAGGGATTCCATGGCACATTGTCGAATGTGACAGTAGAGCGAGTTTAACCAATAATGTGAAAGACTCTAAAAAAAAAAAAATAAAAAATCATTTTATTACTGAGAAACTTTGCCATTTCTGGTTAGCCTCATTTTGCTGGCTTGTCGTGCCCGATTAATTTTACTGAAGAGTCATTTGGCAAGAGTTATTTGAGGCTCATTAGCATCACTCGGATTTTGTGAAAATAAGTTTACTCTTATTGCATGCGGCACCCTTGCATAGGCGTTCGAAAATGATAAAAATCCACTGAGCCATCCTATTTTTCACCTTTCCTATTTCCTCCCATCCCACTCTCACTTCCTTGTCCTCCCAAATATATCGTTAAATCGAAAATGACAAAGATTTTTCAACAATTTGATATTGGTTTGAGAATAATTCTTTTTATTAAGGTGTTATTCAAATATTGGTTATGCACCAAGTCGAAGAATTATTTCATTATCGAACGAATGTGCAACACTTGGCGTTACAATTCATGAGATTGGTGATAATTAATCATTATAGAAAATTTTTTTAATGAAATTCTATTCAATACATAAAAAAAGATATGTTTCTGAGGTTTTTCTGAGGTTTCTGAGATATTAATATAGTAATATGATAATGTATGATAATAATTTATATATTTATATAATTTACTTCTCAATTCAATATATCCAAAAGTAAAGAGCCTATTTTAGAGAAAACGCTCTGTGGTACTCCATGGCAAGTACTATTCCACTTGAAAATAATTGGAATTAATTCGAATAAATTTTAGGGCCCATCAAATTTGCAGATATATATGATATTGTCCAATCTATCTGAATTTTCAGGTCATATATTGGGATTAATACATGAACAATGTCGAAGAGATCGCGATGGCTATGTGATAATAGATTTTCAAGCAATAATCCCCGAAATGAGAGATGCTTTTTCTAAAAGGGATCGTCTTATCAAATATAATCTACCTTATGACTTAGGATCCATAATGCATTATTCTTCGCAGGTACCATTTATTTAGTAAAAATTTTCCAAGTCACCAGTTTTTTCTTGCCGCTAAAAAAAAGAGAATCTGGAAAAATCTGAAAAAAAATTGAAAAATTTTAAGGCATTTTCCGAACAAAATTATCGAACAATTCATCCATTCGATGAAAATTTTTATGAAACCATGGGACAGCGAGATTCTATCGGATTTTACGATGCCGCTGCAATAAATATTGCATATTGTTCCAGTAAATTTGATAATATTTTACAACTTTTTCAATGATTTTCATCTTATGCCACTACTACTTATTTCCTTTTTCTTCATAAAAAATAAATTATTTATAATAATTAATAATATTTATAAAAAATAATTATAATTATAACTCATAATTATTTACTAATTATTCTACAATTCCCACCATAGCTACTAAATTCAAGAGGATGCTCGAAATTTTACGATCAATGAAGAGAACCTCTAACAAATTTTAAAAAATTTAATAAAAATTTGTTTCATTCATTTCAGACATTTTAGATTCTTGCAACAACCAATTATACTGTTTGAACAATGGATATACAGATCCAAATGATTGCTCGAAATGCTTATGTCCAAGTGGATTTGCGGGTAAATATTGTAATCAAGCGGAAGGAGGTGATAAATGTACCAATCGCATAATAATTGCAACATCAAAATGGTCATTACTTTTATGGAATGGTACTGCAAATTGTTCGTGGATTATTAAAGTGGATTATTTAATTTCATTCAAAAAAAATTTTAACTTTTTTTTTGAATTTATATATTTCAATGAGTTCGTTTGTCGCTTTTATTACTTTTATCCTTTTTTTTCCAATTTTTTAAAAGTCCGTCGAGCAAACAAAATCAAACATGATTGTATCCACCTGCGTTCAAATGCTATTTGCATTAATAGTGTTATCACAGAGCGTCGCCTTCGCTAGTTAGGGCACATTTTCTCTGTCTTCCACCACAGGAGTTGACGCATATTTCGTTACTTGCTAAATCCTGTGATGGTCGGTATCAAAAGTGAGGTGGGCCAAAAGTGATCAAGACCTGAACAGATACAGTCAGGAAAGATATAGGGGGACCAACGACATATAGATTTAGACGATGGAAAAAGGAATGGCTTCTAGTACTACTAGCGATGACGTCGGACCGAGCAGCTTGGAGACGTCTTACCTTTGTAATCAGCGGAGCCCCTCTAATCAGTAATGGTGAGAACTGTTAGAAGAAGAAGAAGAATTTTATCTATTCAATTCTTTCCGAAGATAAATACAATAAATTACTTCATTCATCAAATATTTTTTATTTCAAAACATAAAAAATATTTGATTGCTTGAATTAATTATTAAGGATTTTAATTAATGAAATTGAATAGGCACAACGAGGAATGAAAATAGAATTTTTATTAGGACGTTTACAAATGAAAAATACTAATGTTGAAGAAATTTGTTCGATAAATTATATTGAAATTAAATATTTCGATGATTTTGGCCTTTCTGGAGCACGATTTTGTCGATATGGAACAAGTTAGCTTTTAAAACCTTTGCCAGGAAAAACAGTACGAATTGCTCTTTTTAATAAATATCCATGAAACGTGAAACGATTTTTTGGAAGAATTTTTTTTTCTCCGATCCTTCATATAACGAAACGTCGCTTTATTGCTTATTAGTCTAATTCTATTCGATTAGGAAAAAAGAGCAAATTTATGATTTCGAAAATTTATTTTTAAAATTTTTTTTCAAATTTCTTCCTTTTTATTCGAATTATTATCGAAAGCTCAAGCAATGAAATAATGCAACTAAATTATTTTATTTTATTTGAATATTTTGTTTAAATTATTTTTATTTATATATTATATAATATCTAAATTATTATTTCTAAATTAATAAATCAATAAATTGCAGAAACGCCGAAAATCAGTTTATCAAATCAAATTGTTATCCGCTATAAAGGAAAAGACGGATATTTCGAATTTCTTTACAGAGCCCTAGAAAAATAGGATATTTGTTAAATACGAAGTAGAATATGGGCAAATTCGATTAATTTTTATTTAAATCAAGCCAAATATTTGCTATTATTTTATTCATATTGATTAATATAAGCGAAAATTTGTAATGATAAGAGATAAAGTGATAAGGAAAATCAAAGGGAAAAAACAATTTGGATACGATGTTTTATAGGACTTAAGGATTTTTAATAAAATAATTTTTATTAAAAATGATATTTCAATATGATGTCCAATATGATGTTTGTAATATTTATTTATTTAACCGAAGAATATGTTAATATTTTTTAAATAAGATTTAATGACGTAATAAATGATTATGAAATAACCTAAAGAGCTATAATTTTTTCTTCTCATCCCAAATTATTTTTGATTAAGTCACTGATAAAATGATATGAATTGATAAGATGATAAATAATTTTTGTACATCCTCAAAATAAATCGAAAATTTTTAAAGGATTTATATCATTTGAATGAACGGAATGTATTGTCCAACTTTTGATTCCTGTTGGGAATGGAACCTCAGCATTGGCCCAGCGATCCTATTCTCCCTGTTCTCCGTTAGGCGACATTGACATTGGCGAAGGCGGATTCAAATCCAAGTCCCGATTCTTCAAATTGTAAAAACTGCCGAAATTTTGGATCATATATACTAAAAAAGAAGCAAATAAAATTGTGATATTTTTTACATATGTAAATTTGTAATTCGTCTGAACTATACGTACGATGCGTCACTTTGTGGAGCAGCAGCATTGTCTAACGGAGAAAGTAAAGGAAATTAGAATGGCTCAGTGGGTTCAACTGAACTACAAAGCTGAGTTTCTTCTACACTTCGCAAGGAGCAACTCATCTGAACTTCTACAGTTAAAGGACTCCCTGGTGTATTTGCCAGAGTCCAACAACTCACCAGAGCGAGTCTAATCAGTAATGGTGAGAGCTCTTAAGACTAAAATGCAAAGAATAAATTTATGCAATTTAGGCAGAACCTTCCAATTTTTTATATCCCAATTTTTATAACATTTTTAAAACTATTATTCCTAAAACGAATTCGCGGTTACGGTAATTTGGTTTGGCTTCAGTTAAGTCACCTGGTGGTGAATGTGTTTTCGTTCCCATTTTTCTTTCCATAGTTTTATATTTTATTTTATTTTTTTTTTTTATAAAAGCACTTATCGTTGTTCAGTAGATTTGTCGGACGGACGGCAAGATCGTCGATCGTTGCCAGAAAGTCACTTGGAGCTGAAAATATAAGTGAGTTACCACTTCATTTGGACAAGATTACTTCTCTCAGTTATAGAACCTCAACACTGGTGCTCTGAATTAAAAATACCATTCAGCTAAGTCATTCTATTCCTTTTTTCTTTCCATCGGTCGTCGAAGTGTGTTGGTACGTCGATCAGATTCGAACCCATGCCATTCTCTGTTCTCGGTGGTCCAAGCCATTCTCATTTTTCAGTGGCAGTTATTTTGCCACCAATCCACCGATGCAGCCAACTTATTAAGCATATAATTCTAAAATTTTTTAAATATCCGAATAAAATTAAATTTTAAATAGTCTTTATCTAATCTTTTTATAATTCTTATAATTTATATGATTCTTCATTATTATTGTTATTTTTTAATTAAGGAAATAATTAATTATAATTTAGCATTTATCATTTAATTTTGTTGTATTCTTTTAATATCGCCATTATCGCCATTTTTTGCTACTTTGCTTAACTGATTGTTTTGGAGGAGTCTCGGCTTCGACGGAGAAAGATTTATTTAAGATCAGAACTGACCCTCAGGAATTTTTTAGCATTATTCAGATTTTACAGATTTTAAGTTGAAATTTATCAGATTGATGGCGTTTTAAATAAGTATCATATCTTTTACTTTTGCATATTTGTTGTCAACGTTCAATTTTTTAACCTAATATCCACTCAAATCACCATTGTATAGCATCACCATTTACACCTCGTTCCACGTTCCCCTCCCCCACTCGCTCATTATCTTGGTTCCCGCCTTAAATCTCCTGAAAATCAGTACAGTCTCCGCGTATTCAAATATCGTCTTGTTTTATACAGAGTGCGTTGTAGATAATATTATCCGAAATATTTCGCTAATATCATTTGATCTTTTGTGCTCACTTTTTTATTTGTGTTATATCCAGTTTTCAGTCTATTCTATTATACTTGTTGTTGTTGAAATCAAATGAATGAATTTTTCAGGAATTAAACCAATGGCTTTAAGTATATGGGCAACTCCATTACTCTATGAACTTTTACCGAATCCAACTTGGTTAATATTTCTTTTTGTTTTTATTGCTGTTATACGCTCTTTAAAAATATTTGATCCGCCTAATAAGCCTGAAGTTGTCTATTCGAGAAATTCTACGAAAAGTAGTAATTATTCGATTGGTGACGTTTTGGAAAAATGCGAAATTCTTCACGAAATGTTCGTTAATATTTTATTTGCTAATAATGATTATCGCTTTATTATAATAGAAAGTTTAAAACGAAGGATTTTTCGTAAATATAAAAATTTCAAGGCTATTATTATAAATTAATTTGTGGAATCTCTTTTTTTTTTTAGATATTCACCGCCGTTAATTTGGGGTCGTAATGGACATATTCAGACTGCTGCTTATGGATTGCTTGGTCATGCATCTTTGAAACGAACATATGATAAAAGGCATGTCATAGAACTTTCCGATAATTCGTCAGTTCTTTTTGATGTTTTTGAACCGATAAATACTCATCCATCTGGAGGTTTTTCATTTTCTTTGTTCTGCTTAAACTTTTAAATCTTTTAATTCAAATTAGCTTGTAATTTTTATAATTTTTAATTTGAAAAAATATATTTTAATATTAATATTGATATTGAAACTTTGATCTAGCAATTAATTTTTATTTTCATCATTTTTCAAATTCATCATTTTTTTTCTATTGACAACGGTTATTTTTTTCTGTAAAAATTTGATTTGTTAATTAAGGCACTCTCATTTCTAATTCTTTTCATTTATTCATTTCTAATTGCTCTTTCTGCTTTTTGTTTGTATTTGTTTTTTTTAATATATCTGCTGATCTCTGCTGATTCATCTGTTCATCTACTAATAAGATTTTTTGTCAAAGGAGATTTTCATTAAAGCTCCTAAATTTCACGATCTGGTTAAATTTTTAATTCATATTCTGATAATTTTTAGGCGACTATACCCTGGCATTATGTCCAGGTATAGCGAACACAAGCGAATCAAATTATATTCGTACTTGTGTTCATTACGCTCAGGAGAAAGGTTATCGATGTGCTGTGCTTAATCATCTTGGCGCACTTCCTCACGTTCGTCTCACATCAAAGCGAATTTTTTCTTATGGTTTGTATTTTGCCTTTTTCAATTCTAAATTGAATTTTTTCTATTCTATTTCTTAATATTTCCCTCTTTCCTTTTTCTTAGGTGGAACTGAAGAATTGGAGGCTATGATGAATCGTCTTATCGATCTTTATCCGAATACTCGTTTCATATCGATTGGCTTCAGTATGGGTGGCAACATTACTACTCGATATTTAGCTTCAATGGATTTTCAGGCAGTCAAAAAAATCATTATTGGTTTATCAGTGGGACAAGGTTATTGCGCTACGCGGTTAGTAAATGAAAATCATGGTTTATTGGCTTTTATATAATTAGAAAAATTTAGGTTTTCTTTTCTTCTTGTTCCTAACACTGTTTTTCCAATTTTTCTTATTTTTCTTTATTCATAGTAATTTCATCCTAGGTCATCTGCTCTTTATCATGATTGGGAGAACTGTCGTAGAGCCTACAATTATTTTATTACGGAAAATATGAAGCGACTATTGAGCAGAAATTACGAAATGGCCGTTTTACCACATGTTTTGGATGGTACAATTGATGAACAAGTATTCAATTTGTTCTCACTTCAGATTTTATAGCTTCAGATAGCTTCAGATTCTTTGATTTTTTTATTATTGAGCGATATTTTAATATCAGAATGTATTAAAAAATAATTAAAAAGTTAAAGACAGTGCTGTTTGGATTTTTTGCCATAGTATTCATTTGAAAAGGTTTATTTCCAAAAGTTTTTTCCGTTTATATTTATTTATTTACATTTATTTTTTTTCAGCGTCTGTGGTCTGCTACTTCAATTGTCGCATTGGATGAGTCTTATAGTCGTCGGATTCTTGGATATTCATCAGTGGAGGAATTTTACGCATCTTGTAGTTGTTTACCATTCATTCCGAATTTTAAATTTCCTATGGTATGTCATAATTTTTTATGTAATATTTTCATTTTAATTTTATTCTCGTGGTTTGTAGCATGGTTTTCAGGTTTTTTTGAATGCGTTCGATGACCCGCTTATTCCATCATGTCTTTGGACTCCTATAAAAGAAATTGCTTCTAAAAACGAATATATTGGATTTATTCTGACGAAACATGGTGGCCATCTTGGCTTCCTTGAAGGGAATTCCATATCACCCAATTCTGTCACTTGGCTTGACCGTTTCATTGTCCAATTAGCAGACGCAGCCGTTTTAACTTATGATACAACGGCTAAGCATTGAATATCAAAGTGCAAATATAAAACAGGCTGCGTTTTAGTTTTTTTTAGTTTTTGTTTTCGATCACGCACATAATAAAGCGCAGTTTTGTAAGCTTGGGTCTCTTAAATTTATAGCAAATTTTTATGGCTATAATTGTTCTTAATTTCTCTATTTTCTTACTTTATTTTAGTATAGTAATTTAGTTAGTAATCTTCTTTATTAATAATAATACTAGAAATTTTTTGTTCTAACATTTGGGTTAGATCGACTGTGTTGATTGCAAGAGTAAGGCGAATTGCGTCAGTTCCTGGACTACACCTCAGAGTAATAGAAGCCATTCCTTTTTCCACTGTCTAAACTCATTGTTCGTTATTTATATTTCGTTTTTTCGCTTCTCATTGTTTTTCAAAATTTTTTCTATTTTTTTCAATAAAAATAGGGGGATTTCTTGTTTTTTCTTTTAAAAAAATTATTTAATCGAATTTCTTATTTAGAAGTATAATTAATAATCAAACATTTATTAATAATAAAACATTTTTCCACGGGTGATGCATTGAAAACAGATCGTCATTTCGACAAAAAATCCGTTTTCTGCTACTTCTAGAATTACCGGTAAAAAGCGAATTACTGGTAAAGTAAGTAAAGCAAAACTGGTAAATGAGAAAAATTTTCTCATAGAAAAATAATTATAATGCGGAAAATTCATTAGTTAGCTAAAATAAAATAGTTATAATTCTCAATATAATTTAATTACTTATAATTTATGAGAATTTTCTAAATCTTAAATTTTTTTTACTATGTTACTATTAAAAATAAATGATTACGATAATATTTGTTTGTACAGCCTTTTATAAAAAATATTTTAGATTTTATTTCAGTTTATAAGAATTAAAGTGGCTTAAAAAAGCTAATTTGTGGAGAAGTACACTCATAGATTTTTTATTTGGTTTTTTTTATTTTCTATTTATTCATTTGATTTTTTATTTATTAAAACTAAGATTCTTAAAAAGATTCTTCCTTGCCCAATGTTTCTTACCCAATGTTTTTACAGTTATATGTGCTAATATCTAAACTAATCAAATCCATAGAGACTACTAGGAAATATGACATGTAACGCAAGGGTATATATTGTCTATCGAAAGTGTTTCTTAAATTTGGGTACATCTCCTTCTTGTTTCCTGAGATCACATTTCATTTCATTTTCGCTTAAAAGATTGAGATAGGGGATAGAACGAGAGCGGTATGAGCTGAAGTTAAACTGGAAGTAAAAATTAAGACGTTTTCGAAAATGCAATGCATTATGCTAGAAGAGAAGGCGTTATGGAAGAGAACTGGATTGTGGGATAAAGGTATTTAACGAAGTTTGAGGATTTCAGCGAGATGATAGATTTTGGAGAATATTAAAGGATTCACAATCCATGACGATAATTCTTCTCAAAGCACACTTTTCCAAAAATTATAGCATGCAAAATCGTATATTCAATAGAGCTGAATAACCTGGTTAAATTTTATTTGGAATTCTGAATTCTGAATTTCCATATCATACATTATTTAATTCTTCTAAGAACCTATTTGCATTATGAAATTATTTTATTTATTCACGAATATTTTATGGAATATTTTATGGGAATTTTTTTCCCTTCATTGATAAATTTTCTCGTTTTTTTCATTTCACTTACGAATTCCTTGAGGAACAATCCAGGAATTCAATTAACCTTCGAAATCATCCAATTTGAACTGATGGTCTTGCGCTGCCCCACTTTAGTTCGAAGTGTTCAGCTGCGTGCATATACTTTTTTATACAGTAGATCATCCATTGGTTCTTCAAGACAATGAAAACCATTTATTCAACAATATTTATCACTTTTTGTTTTAACCCGACGATCCAATAGGATTTCATGGAGATTTCCTTCATCCTGTGCTTGCTTTACAGAGGTTTTATCATCAATGTTGATTGAAATTTGTTTTCCCTTTAAACCGACTTTGGAATGTTGATACATTTTTCTAAAAAAATAATCGATTTTTTTGAAAATATTTATCAATAATAAAAGAACTGAAATATCGTTGTCTTTTTTCAATAATTTAGTTATTTTATTTATTATCAACGAATTATCTGAATAAAAATCATAAAAGTAACATACATGTAAGCTTCTTCGCATTCTCCAGCTGATTTTTTATCCTCAGATAATCGCCAATCAATAGGACCAGTCTTTTCTGCATTCGTGCGAATCTTCAAAAATGAATTAAATATTAATTAAAAATTGTTGTTGATAGGATTATGGATAATATTAGTAGCACAAGTATAAGTAACAAAAAAATAAAACATACATTCACCATCTCATCTTCTTCCGCTTTTCTACTGACAACTTTGATGTTTCCATCTTTTTCTAATTTCATGCTTAAAAATAAATTATTTGTAACAGACAGAATCGCAGATTTCCCCTGAAAAAGATGATTGCACAAATAAACTGACTGCTTTGAAAATCCTTACTGAATCTCTTTTAGCGATATAACGAATTTTTTACAAATTTCTATTATATCTTCATTAAAATAAAATATATGCTCCTTTTGTTACTATGAAGAACTTACATTCTGAAAAACAAAAATAAATCTTTCTCTGGTACCAACAGCATCTGCTGTGGCGACAAGATTTCCTTCCGAATCGACGCCCACATATTTGCCATAGCCAGTTTTCAAACTTATCTTTGAATCATCTGGCGTTTTGATTAATATCAACATCTGAAATATTGGCAGTTCTTACAGATTCCATATTTTATTATTAATATGATAAATTTTTTTAAAAAAGTCCTCACCATTACTGGTCAAACTCGCTCCACTGGCTTGTCGCATTGGGTAATATGCCAGGGAATCTATTAGCGATAGAAATACGGGTGAGTCGCTAGCATCACCCGGATTTTTATACAGATTTACCCCAGCGGGGAATCGAACTTCAGCATCGGTGCTCCAAATTGAGCAACAACCCACTGAGTCATTCTATCCCCACTAATATGATAAATAATTATAAACAAACAAATGATAATTATAAATAATCAGTAAAACTAAAACTTTTTTTTTAATACAACAAATAATACAACAAATTACAGGAAGAATAATATTTTTTACAAAGAAACATTTGAACTGTAGTAAAAAGTGAAACGAATAAAAGATGGTACTAACTTCTTCTGGATTAGGACCTTCACCAGCCATATGAGGATAACCAATCGTAAAGCGACCGTTATCCAAAGCAGCCAGATAGCAACCAGAGTCAATGCTTGATTCGAATGCGAGACTAAGACCACCTTTTAAATCAGCTTCATCCTTAATAGCCCACCATCCACCTTAAAAAATGTTGAAAACTGATCATTACAGAATAATTTAGAAAATTAGATGATAAATAATTCATATTTTGCAACTTATCAAAGATAATAAATCTTAACAAAGCAAAGCTATTAGAGAAGAATGGTAAATTTAAAAAGGGTTCACAAAAGTAGAGTATAAATTTAATAATAGAATTGTAAAAATAAGTTTTCAAATAAGTAAACTGAATCCTTAAAAATATAAAAGTTTAAAAGCCTTCATGTGGAACTCATCCTTGCTGAAATAAAGAAAATTTATTAGAACTAAGGATAAAATTTAAAAAAAAATTTTTCTAAATAATAAGCATTAATTAAATACTTTAATAATATTTTAATATTTTTACATCGACTATTCCATATATTCAAATAAATAGCTAAATTAAAACAAAAAAAGAAATATAAGGGCTGCGGCATTGATTTTAATAAAGCAATTAAACCTGCCAGGTGAGCATGAAAATTCGGGTATTAGCTGAAAACTCATCCAGCATATTGCTATTACTATGAGTACCTATAGAAAAAGCAGCAGTTTAATGACCAATGAAATAATAAGCCCAGAAATATTAGAAATTAGAAATTAGTTAATGCTGTATGATGAAAAAAATAGAAAGAAAAACTTTAGGGTTACCATGATACTCGACGTCGGGATCAACAGATTCCGATATTCCTTTAACTGTTTTCATCTTCTTTTTCGTCTTATTTGGTTTGAACCTGAAAAGAAAATAAAAATTGACTGAATCAAAATTTCTGCTGGTAGCAGCGTTGACCAGCGCTGATCGTATTCACTGTTGTCCATTAAAGGAATTGACTCATATTTCGCTACACATTATGATGATGAATGGCTTTAAAAGCAAGAAGCACCAATCCAATCAAACCAAACCAAACCAAACCAAACCAAACCTCAACTAACACCATCAAATGAGTTTTTCAGTTCATAGGCAGTTCAGCCATAGATGGTGCAAAACTGAGTGGCAAGTTTCAGAATGATGATGACAATGATAACGAAAAGAGGTTTGCAAGCGTTTCCTATCACTAGTCGCTTCGTCTTCTTCTTCTTCTAACAGCTCGCACCATTATTGGTTAGGCTGGCTCCAACAGCTACAAGGATGAGAGGCGATCATGCAATATTTTGTCCGCTCGACGGACTCATAAAATGTACCTTGGACAAGAGTGGTCAAAGGCAGATAGCTTCTTAATATCCTCCACTCTCACTGGCCACCTCTCAGAGCCATATAGCAAGATCGAACGAATCGTGGCTATATAGATGCGGACTTTTTTTTTGATGGTGATTTCACGACGGCTCCATAAAGGTTTCATCGCTAGTCGCTAGTTTAATAAATAATGGTGCAAACTTAAAAATAACAATTAAATACTAACAATGATTTATTCCCTTTCAATTTAAGTCGACCACCTTTTGCATTCGCATAATCGCTTGCCGACGCCATTTCGATTTCAACGTTAAAAAATTTAAAAATACTAAAATAAATATTTAATAATTATATTTGAAAAATAACAATAAGCCCGTATTTTTTTTATCATTTTTATCACTTGAAAATCAAAACGAACAGAAATCCCTTTAGCAAAAAGCAGTAAAAAAGCATATAAAGCTACTTTTTTCAGAAAGAAAAAGAATTCAGAAACCATTGAATGTGGCCACAAAACCTACAGCCTTCTTGTTTCTCACTAATTCAGTCCAAATGCTTAGCATTTAAAAAGAACCAAAAAAAAGAGCCGCACGATTTTTAGATTTTTAGTGTAGTTATCACTAATTCTCAGTGTCGATTGTTTATTCAGATAAGTGCTGATAAAACACAGTATGTTATCAGCGGAATGATAAAATAAAAAGATAATGTTAATTTATTAATAGGGATAAGCGTATTTAATGGAAATAATATTAATGGATAATTCTATATAGTTTATTTTTAAAATTCGATAGTGATTGTTGCAGAAATAACTGGCAATGGTGCAAATTCTTAGAAGAAGGAACATTATTTGGCAATTTTAATATTCAAATTAATGGTGCTAGATCGATGAAACATCACTTTGATCATACAAATTGGTTCCATTCAACCCATAACATTTATTATTACTAAGAAAGGCTTGGAATCTTTTTTTCTTTTTTCGGGTGGGGGGACTCACCATTTTACTGGTTAGACTTGCTGCACTAGACAAATTTGCTAGAGAGTATCCTTCGGTGGCAGAAGTACAGGTGAATCGTCAGCATCATCCGGATTTTCGGACAAGCTTATTGCTGCTGAGAACCTCAGCATCGGCGCTTCGAATTGAGCGAAAACCCACTGAGCCATTCTATCTGCCTTTATTTTTTCTCGTTATTTTTCAGAGGCGTTATAAGTGGAACCACGAACTCAATGCACCATAGTCGATAGAATGGGATTGGTTTTTTAGCACCATTTAGCATCCGAAATCTTTCCATTGCGGTTTTGGATATTCGAACAAATATGAGAATTTTTGCGATTTGGTGTCATTTTATACTGAATGTTTAAGGTCTGAATATTGACGTGAAGACTTTTTTTTTGAATGATTTCAGCTCGAATGATGTACCAAAAACCAGTGAGCATCAGCATTTCTTCAGTTTTCAGCTATAAATTGACTATGAACACTCTTTATCAACATTATGCGCACCATTCGGTGCTATAACGTGGTGTATTCGGGATGGTGCCGGCGATTCATCTGTATGTCTTTTTCTAACAGCTCTCACCATTACTAGTTAGACCGGCTGCGCTGGCTATAAGAGTAAAACGTCTCCAAGTCCTGCTCGGTCCGACGCCAACGCTAGTAATAATAGAAGCCATTCCTTTTTCCATCGCTGGTATACGTCTGGCTGATTTGCATAAATAATTCCAACTGCTCAGATTTGATCAATATTTGATATTGCCAATCATTTGTTGATTTAGGAGAGACCTTCCTCCTGGATTTTTTACTTGATGCTGTAGATCAAAAAACCCAGAAAGGATTTGGTTTTGTTGGATATTAAGTCTTATTTAATAACAAACGTGAAGAATACAAAAGGCAATCCGCTGGAGGCTATAATTAGCTTTTTGAAATTTTTAATTTATCGCGAATTGTGAATTCCTTTATTATATTTTTAATTGAAATATTTTAAAAATTATATGTGATAAAATGATAAAACATATTTTTGTTTTTTTAAAGAACCACAGATGATTTACACTATTTTAGAAGTTTTTAAGAAAAGAAAGTTTGGAAATGATTTTTAGTCAAATTCCCATAATAATACAAAAAGTGATTTAAATGTAAAAAATATGATAATTCATCAATTTTTTAAATATTTTAGGTTTTTTTCGTAATCTGATTAAATTTTCGCTTATATTTTCCTATTTGCCAAATTTTCTCGTATTTATATAAGTTATATATTAATAAAATTAGTTAAAATAGAATACAAAATGATAGCACAACGAGAGTTTCGAAAGAAGAGGTCAACAAACATAATAAATAGGATTTTCTAAATAAAACTTAAACGAATGGACTTGAATGAAACAAAATTCTCAATCGTAACTAGCTTCAACATATTTTTTTTCAAAAATATTTTAGATTAGCTACTATACAAAAACTAAATTAAATTATATTGAATTTAACCGGCCATTAAAAAATGAGCAAAAATTAAAATCAAAAAATCACAGTAAACAATAAAAAAATTATCATTATCACAGACAAAAAAAAAGTGAAAATTACGAGCACTTTTAGTTCACTAGAGAAATTTTGGTTATTTCTTAAACTATTACTTAATCTAACAATTAAAAAATTAAATATAAAAATGATATGAATTAGGAATAGAGAAAGCAATAAATGAAAATGAATATAAAGGCAAAAAACCTCACAACAGATAAATAAGATCAGAGAGAATAATTCCTCTGAAAAGACTAAAACAAATTTTATATAAAAAAAAACCAAGAAAACGGTTGGTAAACGAACCACTAAATAACACCAAATAAATTATTTATTTATATACCAATAGCAATGAAGTTTTTAGTTTATTTTTTACTATTCACCAGATCGTCATTGCATTCTTAATTGGTAATCACCGTTCTGAGTAACATAGCGAACCCATGGCAAAGCCTGATAGCCACTTTTCTCGATAATTTTTAGATACCTCACCTAAATGCTGTGCAAATAATTCAGAATAATTAACGTGGAAATATCGTGAAGCATTGATTTTCTCTGCCATTTTTTATTTTAAAATAAAATTCTCTATAAAACAAAATGAAAAAAAAGAAAAGTTGAAACTGAAATAAAATATATTACTAACTTGAAGACCGCTAGTAGTGAAATAAGGGATTTCAAACTTTACAGAAATAGGTGGTCGACCTTCAACCTCTTCACTCGCTACAGATGGAAGACTAAAATGAGCCCGCATAAGATATTCTCGTCCACCTAAAATAAAGAATTAAAATTATTGGAGAAATAATACTCTAAAAAAGTAAATAAATTGATGTAATTAATGCAAATATTTTTCTAAAATTTCTATAAGAAGTTTCACCTGGGAAACTACGTATCATCCATATAAATGCACTTAATTCTGGTACGTATTTTACTGAGCCTACAGAGGTTTTAAATTTGGGAGAATCAGCATCGCTTGGTACAGGAATAACAACTTCTACATGGTTTGCGATAGACTGACGTTTGAATTGCGATTTTGCCTCAAATATATATTTTACAGCAAATTCATATAAACAATTTTAAAAACGCTTCATTTGATTATAATTCAGTTTTAAAAAATGAAAAAATATGCGATATAATTCTTCAATACCATAATTGGTTTACTAGCATACCTTCACCATATATTCAACGCGAGAATGCGCATATTTTTCCATGCAAGCTTCCACCCAAATAAGAGGTTTAACTGCTGTGGTTAATCGATAGCTCATTAATTCAAATTCGCCATCAGGTGGTACGAAACTAATCGTCCGATCATTTTCAAACCGCGATAGCCGAACGCACTGATGAAATTTAACATCTTCCAATTCCACAGCTCTTCCTCTGCCACCTTGGAATACAGTTAAATTAGTCATTTGATTTCGAAATAAAAATTTAAAAACATTAGGGAGATTCCATCTACCATCTAATGTAATGGGTGAAAAAATAAAAACATACGAGAACAAGCCTGAAAAAGAACTTTATCATTCAGACCCAATCTCAATTCAGGCATTCCTGATAATAAGACACGCATTCGAATGGTTCCAATTATTTCACTTCGTAAAACGGTTCCAGAAGAATTTGCCTAAAAATAAAAATGAGTAATTCAATTTAAACAGCGTGATCATAAATAATAAATTATATCTATTCAAATGCCCTCATAAAATCCTTACCAATTTTGAAAAAATCAATGAAAGTATCCTATCCTAATAAAAGAATGCTATGAAGCAATCAAATTTTGCTAAAACAAAATTTACCAGCATATTTAGCGATTCTATAACATCTAGAAACACTTCGTTCTTCCTATATTTTAGGCCTTCGGAGCGCCATGATACAGCATTTGTAACTGCCATCGGTGGACGAGGTGTTATGTCCAGCATATATCTTTCTTGAGTTATATATCTGAAATTTCTATTCACTGTTTGGTGAAATTAATGAAATGAAAAAAAAAAATTTGAAAGATGTAAAGCGGAAGGTTAGTTGAGAACAAACTAACTCTTGCAAAATTCGCCCTTCTGTTGTTTGCGGATAACCGAAATCCATCATTTCATCAAGCAGTTCATATATAACGACAAAATTATCTCTGACAGATTCCTCTTCAAAGTCCTACAAAATTTTTTCATTGTAAAAAAATACTATCAACCATGGAAATAAATTGTTCGATATGCGTAAAATGAAACTAAAACTTGCTTATTTCTCATCAGTTGAATTATTTTTTTGTCATCAAAGAATAGGGAAAATTACTTTGAAATACTCGCTGAACACTTCGATACATTTGTATAAAAAAGACATAATCATTGCGACATTGATATTTTTTTTGGCTATCGATACCACTGAAAAAAATATCTACTAATTTCCATTAATTTTATAAAACTGTGGCTAAGGTAATTAAAAAAATAATGTAAATGCAAAAAATAAGCAAAATTTAACTGTATTTTTTCACAAACTCAAAAACTAATTAAAAATATAATAATCGAAATATATTATAAAATAATATGAAAATAAATTTAAAAAACCTACGAAAAATATTCATATGCTTCACATAAACATAACTGACATCATTCTTGCTAATAACAGGTGAAATTTGGCCTTCATCTTCTCGTTCCATCAAAAGTGGCATAAAATGATCGATGACTGATAAATCAATATTTCCACGGTAATTACGGGACATGATAACCTAAAAATCAATCAACATATAGATAATTAATAAATTAATCATAAATTAAAAAGGAACTATTTTCTAGAACTCAAAATTATGCAAAATCTTACGCGAAAAAAATATCAGCACGATTTTTTACGGTTAATAAGAATTTTCGATTGAGTAACGATGCGATTCACTAGTATTTCTATCGTTAAGTGAACTCTATGGCAAAAATTTGCCTAGTCCGATATGCCAACAGAACGAGCATAATCAACAATAATGAGAGGTCTCTCCCTTGGAAAAAAATTCAAATGAGGAAAAAGAAAATTATATAGAAAAATTAAAACAATTTAAAACAAACATTTCCCTTCAGATCCAATATAAAAATTGCGGAGCAAGACATTTGAATATTTATATATAGTAACTGATATCTGAATATAATAACTGATCTGAATATTTCCAATAAAAAACCCCTGAAAAAACCAATCAAATGAATAATATCGCTGAACGAAAACGCAAAATGACCCACAATTCATAGCTTGAATCCATGGCGAATCCTATTTGAATCTTTTCATTATTAGTCTAATTATAATTTTATAATTTAATTATAATTTTACAGTGACGGGCAAAAGCAAAGACGTTAAATTTATGATTGTAAGTATAAATTTACCTATGTATTTAGTTTTTTTAATAATTCGTCCTTTTACGATGGCAGAAGCATTGACCTTTGCAAAATAACAAAACACCGCAATGACCTTCATGCAATTCATAACCATGAACGAGGAAACAATAAATAATTCATTTGTCAAATATAACAATTTTGTTATACAAGAGAACTATAAATTTCCCATTTCCTAACCTTTTATCGATCTAAATCTTTCCTATATTTCAATGCTAATTGGTACCTAACCTGTTTTTATAAACTGAGAATTTATATTTCAATTCTGCAATAACAATTTTATTTGCTAATGCAATCAACTAGTCTCTAGTGGATAATAAAAGAATTCTTGCCAAAAATTTTTAGATTTCATGTTGTATTAAATATTTTTAATCGGCCGTACGACCGCAACCACCACAAAAAATAATAAAACTATTAAACAACTTTAATTCAATAATTAAATATTTAACAAAAAAACAAAGAAAAACAATTATGCAAAAAAAAACAAATAATAATAAAATAATAATAATAAATAATAATAAAATGCTAATAACCGCTAAGATTATTTGAATCCAATCAGCAAAATATTTTTCGATTCATTTCAAGGAATATTCGAATGTTGAACGGTCGAATCCTCGTGTAAACATAATTCTTCTATATTTGATGATGAATAAAATAAAAATCTAAGTAAAAAAAAATATCTATACATATAACCACAAAAGGAATTCACCAAAATTCACCAAAACAAACATTACAAATGCATTACTTTATGAAAAATTATAGCAATTTCATTTTACACCTTCACAATATCGAAAAATGAATTAATATTCATTTAAAATAAAATTATTAAAACTGTAAAAAAGAAAAAATGACGAAAATAATAATTCGGAACACTAAAAAAAAAATTAAAAATCACATTCGTTACAAAAAAAAAATAAATAAAAAATTATTAATTAGCAAATTAGGAAAGAACGAATCAAAATTTAAAAAAATTGGCAAAAGCAAGCAAAAATCATACGTTTAAAATTGAAAAAAGAAAATATAATATTTTCAGATATTATTACCGTTGATCTAATCATCTATTCCATTGATTGCTCTAATCGAATAACAATAAATTTCCATCGGTGAATCGAATCGGTGAATTGAATCCTAAATTACATCGAATTTTACATCGAATTACGAATTAAATTATTTATTTCAAAATTAAAAAGTGTAAATAAATTCTAATCACTAACGCATAACGTTGTTTAACGTCAAACAACCGATCCGAATTGAAATGCTAAATTTTTAAATTTCAACTGAAAATCAAGCAAATTGCTAAATGCTCAAAATATGATCGCATATTATAACGCAATTAATAATTAATAATCGAATTAGATTCGACTAAAATTTTAAATTTTTTTAGCCAAAAAATTAGTAAAAATAAGTGACTAATAGATTAAATAGAAGATCGTTTATTTTATTTTCCACCACAGAAATAAACAAATAACCTTAAGTCACCTAACGATAGTGGTTAATCCACAGCATCATAGAGCTAATAATGCGCCCCCTGTGAAGAAATTCCTGAAGTTCTTAGACTTTAGCATAATATTTTTGAATTTGGATCACTCACTTAAATTGATAAAATGAAAACCAATTTATCAATAATATATTCAAGCCAAGACAGAAATAAATAAAAATTATTTCGAAATAAACAATTTTACGCATTTTGATAGGTTAGCTATATTGTGAACACATTGAAACACACTGTTTTTCAGAAATTTTCATTTTCAATTTATTTTGAATTTAGGAATTTCAAGAACAGGTTTTGAGATTTCCGGAAATATCAAAATTTTGCTATATTTACGGTTCTATTTTTTATCGACATAAAAGCAATTGTGCGAATTCTACGAATTTTCAAGTAGACCACAATCAGATATTCAATTCATATCTGACGATAATTGGGCTACTGGAACAATGCGAGATGCTGGGAGAACAAACTGGCGCGGAAACGGCTATTAGAATGTAAGAGCTAATTGGAACAATTCTCAAAATCCTAGGAAGGAGACCAAGGAAAAACTTGATTTTTATGAGACATATCTTCCCAGAGAGAAACTAGTCGCTTCATACCATTTTCATTTTTACTTATATCTTCACTTCTTGGCATGAATATTTGTGAGCACTATTTTCTACGAGAAGCACGTAAAAAGAGAATTTAGAAAATTAAGAATTGCCACTACCCCGGAGGAACCACGCACTAATGCACCAGTACCAAGAAAGCAAGGTCAAATATTACAATAAATTTGTTTCTTTTCTTATAATATGATGAATATTTTATGTGCAATTGAACAGACAATTGAACAATAAAACAATTAGACACTTTAATATTTTTGAACGCATGGACAACATCGATAATATTCACTTAACCAAAATACGCGTACTCCTATCGTCAAGCGACAATTTCCTGTGAAAATTTATCTGCTTTGAAAAGCGAGTCTAACCAGAAATGATGAACACTTTTAGAAAAAGACAATATTCAATTATAAATTATAGTTCTTATAATTATTTCAATTCGAGGCAAAATAAATCATTACATTTATTTTGCTGATGGAAATTTATGAAGATTTATAAAAATGGAAATAAAGACTATGAAATGACGAAATACCCCCCACAAAGGCAGTTATTATGCATAAATACAATGAAATGATCTGAAATTACGAACGGAAAAGAAATAAAGTTCACTTAGAGAATGCAAAAGACAAAATTAAAAGCATACAAAGATTGCAAAAAATCTATTCCAATTGATGATCATCGCCTTTTGCTTTTAAAAATTTTAAATGAAAAAAATTAAAAGATTCCCTCCCTAAGGATGAAAACAAAAAGATTTTAAAAGAAAGATTTTAATCAGGCAAATATATAAAAAGGAATGTAAGAGGAACTGAGTTTTATCAAGTTTCTGCAATATATCTGTTGAGAGCTCTGAGAAGGGAAGCAGTCGGAAAGTTTAGAGAGGATGTGGTGTTAAATCCGTGTAACAATATTAGATATGAAAGAAGTGATAAAATGGAAAGACTTTTTAGAAGAGAATCCGGGAAACAAGTAGAAGAAATTTCGAGAAAAAGAAACTACTTGCAACTCAGAAGGGAATCAAGGAAAATGGGGATGTAAAAAAGCAACATCATTGTTAAGTTACGCAATCCAAGTTCGAAGGGCGTCATTTCATAGCTTATAGACCAACTCTTATCGTAAGAATAGTTGAACTTGAGAAGATGCAAAAGAAAATTCTAGATGGGTTATGAAAAATTATAACAGAGACTGAAAAAGTCTTAAAGAAGTATAATGAAATTTGATGGAACAGGACTGCGACTGGTCGGTTCCACAAATATACATTACGATTGCAAAGTGGTAGAATTATGATGGTAATATTAACGAAAATCAATAAAGGAACTCAAACGTTCTATTGAATTTTAAAATATAGAACAAATAGAACAAAAAATATAGAAAAAAAAGGAAAAAAGAAAACAAACAAATATAAATTTTATGCCTTATTATGTTCTTGTTTACTCACTTTTTATCGAGATGATACGGCTTGCGTTCGGAGAATTTTACTGTTAGATTTTCCGAGTTGAACTTTTTTATTCGAAGTCGCTGGTAGCGAACCAAGATCTAGATTGATTGATAAACAAACTGGCAGAATTAGTGGACAAGTTAACAAATCTGCAAATTTCTTTCGTGATTTCACCAATTTATTTTAACAAATTCTTTCAAGAAAACATTTTTTTTTTACTGAGTTAAAAAACCGTTTAAGAAAACCTTTCAATAAAGGCCTTGTTTTTTCATTCACATCCAATATTGACTTGATCAAAGTATGAAGCTCAGAAGACCAATGACTGCTTACTGATCCGTATTTTCCCTGAAATGAAAAATTCAAATTTCAACAAATAAATAATAACTTTCAGAAAAATTATTATAGTACTCAAATAATTCAACTTCAACTAATTTCAAAGAAAAAAGTTTTACTTGTATAATTTTGATGACAATAGATGGTATATTATCGCCGTCAAATGCTTTTTTTAGTTCACAAAGCTCATATAGAACACAGCCAAGCGCCCATATATCACTTTTTTGGTTGTACGATCGACCTGAATGAGACAATATCAAAGAAAAAGAAAATTTTTAAAAATAATTAAGTAATTTAATGAAATAATTGTATTTAATGTGTATTACGTGAGCATAATTTTATTTAGGTAATTTTCACAATTTTTATGACCCAATGGAAGAAATTTATTGTTATTAAGAATTTAACGGTTAATGATTATCTTTTTTATTTGATGAAACTAAAAATAAATACAATAAAAAATCCACAACTATTGTATTGTATTGTAATGAGAAGTATTATGTTCATTTTATTATTATTAGTTAGATAAATAAACAATCTAGCAATATTCTACAACAACTCTACAATAAACGACAATGAATTATAATAAATAGTTAAACCAAACAAACCTTCACATATCTCTGGTGAGAGATATTTCGGTGTACCAACAAGCGTTGATGCTAAGCTAAATGTACTTATTTCTCTACTAATACCAAAATCGCCCAATTTAACAATTGTCCTTTTTTTATTCAAAAGAATATTTTCAGTTTTCAAGTCACGATGGAGAATTTGCTTAGAGTGCATATATTCTAAGCCAATGGCGACCTTAAATATTTACTTTTGGAATTTGAAATTAAATGTATAAAAAGCATAAATGAAATGAAATGCGTATAACGATAAATCAAACTAGTTTTACACCTGAGTGAAATAATTAAGAACTGTCGATTCTGGAAAACTCGTTCCTTTCTTACTCTGTTCCGAAATCATTTGACTCATAGTTCCGCCTTCAGCATATTGCATGACTATTGATAAGGCATTTTCAGTCTAAATATAAGAACCAACTACAGGAATAAAATTATCAAATGAAAGGTTTTTTCAATTGGAAGGATTTAATAAACACTAATAAACGACGAAATTATCCAAATTTGGAAATATAGTAGTGAGAACGACGATTTCAACAGAAAGTAATTTGCTAATAGATCTAAACTAAGAATCTATGAACTGAAAATTTATTTGCAAAATTTGCAAAAATGTACAATCTTTGCCAAAAATCAAAAATGTATCAACAAACCCTAAAAGATTCATAGTAACCAATAATATTAGGATGATGAAGTCGTTTCAATAGCATCACTTCACCTACAAGAAAGTGATCATAATTAGAATAAACAAAAGATGAATGATTAAAAAACTGTCTTTAACTGTCTTTCTCAATTTATTTAATAAACCATAAAACATAGCATATATATGCTTAAACCAAGATAAAGATGAATAAAATAAAAAATTGTCAATAAAAAAAATTCAATAATTACCAGAAATTCTATCCCGCAAGCGATTCAATAGAAAAGGTGCCATGGGAAATACCAGCCTAACCAGAAATAACACTTTAAAAACTCATTGCCAGTTGAGGACGGTTGCCCGATTTTAAATATCTTGGATCCACACTAATAGTGAATGGCCAGGTAAAAGACGAAAATTACAATCTGGGTAACGTCAGCGTCCGGTGACGAAGCCTTTACGGAAACCGTCGCGAAATCACCATAAAAACGAAAATATGCATCTATATAGCCGCAGTTCAAACTTGCTATATGGTTGCAAGATATGGCCAATCATATTAAGAAATTATCTGCCTTTGACCACACATGTTTATGGTACATTTTACGGGTTCACCGAGTGGATAATATTTCACATGATAGCATTCACCTTAATTCAAATACCACTTGCATTAACAGCACCTTCGCTAATCAGGGCACATTTTTCGTCACTTATCACAAGATTGAGGCATATTTCGCCATTTGCCGAACCCTCTGATGGTTAGTGGTTAGTGTCAAAAGTGAGGAGGGCCAATCAAGACCATGGATTGATACAGTAAGAAAAGATTCTGAACGTATATGTGGACCAGCAATATATGGACTTAGACGATGGAAAAAAGAATGGCTTCTATTAGTTTCGAAGACGGTATCAGATCGCACAACTTCGAAACGCCTAACCCTTGTAGCCAGTGGACCCAGCCTAACTGGTAATGCTAAGAGCTATTAAAAGAAGAAGAACCATAATTTTATCGAATAACTAATTAAAAATAATGATTAAAGATGAAATGACAGATTCTATTTCTGACCTTTAACACCAAATATATAATTAAAAATTGTATTATATTAAAATTAATTGTATTATATTATTAAATTACATACCAAATACATTTATTAAATTTACTTAGTTCTGAAAAAAGAATTTGTTTGTTAAATTAGAAAGGTAACAGAGGTCTAACATTCAAGAGTCAATCAGTTAACATTCATAAATTAAAATCCTCAGGATGAGAACTTTGGGCCTCAGTCCATAAACAATATAGCTCTCTGGCGAAATGACATCGTTTGAATGACAAGCAGAACCAATCAAATCATAAATTTTTAGAAAAAAAAATGAAATGATACAGATGTCGAATGTCCAGGATAACATTATCAAGCAGTCAGAATGGCATTAACAGGCAGCCAGGATGGCATTATCAGGTACCTAGGATGATATATTATTAGATATGGAGGATAGACATGACAGTCTCCTTTCTATAGCAAGTTCTAAATATTCATATTTCTAGTTATTTTTAGCATAATATTTTCCTAATAAAACATTGATTGAAAAGTAAGATGGCTCAATGGGTTGCTTTGAATTCGGGATGCCAGTCCTGAGGTTCTACTCCATGTAAGAGTAAACTTGTCCAAAAATCCGTTCAGGCATATCTGTTCAGTGCTAGCGGAGGTAGCAGAGTTTAACCAATAATGTTGGGGAAAACTGAAACACTGACTAGCCATTTCCTATGATCTCTATCCGCTGGCTTATCGTACGAAACAAACAAGCCGGGAAATCCCTTGGCGACAAAAATACAAGTGAATCCACGATCATCCGGATTTTTTAAAAAATTCACTCTTGCGGGGCACGGAACCACAGCATCCGCTAAGGATCTATATCGACCCTTTGTTAAGCTAATTGAAACGCGAGAGACGTCTCTTATAATTAACTTCAACCTGGCGTCCAGGTAACCGACAAGTACCATCACAGCCATAAGGAGAAAAATAAAAGATACCCATAATAGCAGTTTCTTCTTCAGGTGTTAATCCATCCAGTGAAATCGTTTTAACGATAACTTTTTGCCCAAAAACATCGTCTTTACGTCGACATAACCGGCAAACACCATGCGCGCCACGTCCAACAACCGTAATTTTTTCGTAATCTTCCATTTTTACAAATCGATTTCATGAATAATCGAAAAAAAAATGGAAATTAAACAATAGCAAGGAATATAGAACTTTCAAAAATGAATAACAGGAAATAAACCGAAAAACGACCAATAAAAAATACGCGAGGGTCGAAGGTCAAATCAATAAACAAGTACCATGACACAATTAGGTAGAATTAAGAAATAAAAAAGCAACAAAAATCCAATTCGAAATAAAAAAAAACATGAAGCCGAACTGCTATTTAGTATTTCGAACGAGCAATATTTAACAGCTTCTTATCAATAAATTGTCGACATATCAATAAATTATCAGTATTTGAAATTTTTGCAACATTTGGTATGAGTCAGTGATATTTGAAGTGAAAGGTTATATTCGACTTTCTCGGAGAAAATTTTGCATTTAGATTTCTATACTTGGCTATGCACCGCAAGTCACCGATCTGAGGGAAGCGATTGCTATGAGAGCACGGAATTTACATACTCCAGAAGACAGTTGAATTTTCCAGTGGAACCTTTGTTGGGAAAGAGAACCCCCAAATTTCCTATACTCTCAAATTGTTTAATGGTTTTATAAGCAAATTTATTCAGTGAGAAATTATTTATCAGTGCGATATGATCTATTACAATTGGCAATATCTATAGCCATCTATCCTATGGCCATCGTAAGCTACCTAAAGAAATAATCGGGCATAAAATTGATCGAGCTTATTCGAAATGGTTTGCTGGAGATGATAATGATGAATATAATTCATATAATTAACGATAATAATAACAATAATAAATAACAATGATAAATGATAATATGAAAATGATAATTAATGATAAATTTTAGCGATATAAATGATATTAATAATAAACTTAATAATAATGATATAAACTTAAGTGAAAGCAAGAGAAATAGCCTTCAGCTAGATTGGTAGCTGCGTTGCACCAACCTGAGCTTTATCTGACCTACTGCTCACTGATAAGGAAAAATTAATTAACTAGATTCGATAATAGAAAAAAGATCAATCTGCATAGATCTGCAATTAGTTAAATCATGAGCAATGTAATCTCTCATGCGGATGGAAGGATATATTTTGTGAACATTAGAATCGATGGTTAAAGTTAAGAACCATTAATCTAGGCTACCACTCGTTATTATTTTTGATTTGAGCAACCTGAAAATGTTGGTTTTTCTGTGATATCTTATCGGTGTTGATAATAATATGTTGATTGGACGGTTGATTTTCTCTTTTAGTAATATAGAAATAATTCTTGGTACTAGTGGATCGCATGTGAATAAATATTTCATAGGTTAGTTTATTTGTAATAATTAGTTTTTTTCTTCTAATTTTCTTTTTCATTTACTAGAACGAATCATTTATTTATCAAAGTACCAATTCAACCAGTAAAAAAATCGAAAAATTCTTTCTATGGGAGACAATTTCTTATTTGTCAGTTTAATTTTATTTGCGCAGAGTATTAGCAACAATATACGCTCGTAAATCAAAATTACTAAAGTGGAATTCACGACATCTAATGAGTGGTGACACCTGGTGAGTGGTGACAAATTCGTCCACGCCATTGTCACCATTGAACATTTCATCGAATTGACTGGATATGGCTTAAATTTTTTTCTGGCTTCGAAGTGAATTGAACCGTACATGATCTTGTTTAAGATTCTCATGCTATTCAGTTCCTAAAATACTTTAAATACTGCGATTAGATAATATTTTTCTAAACTATGGAACTATGCAAGCGTGTAGATTTCAAAGTTGTGGAACTTTTGCAGTATATTCCTCCATCGATTTTTTTGATCTTTTCGCATTTTCTGTTATAATTTCTCTTTACAAGTTTATTTTTTCCATATATAACAAAAAACATGTGCATTATCCTCAGTCCTAATATTATAATGATAGGGCCATATTCATGAAGCATTTCAAACCAATAAAAATCGATTTCAAACCAATAGTTTTTATAATTTGTGAAAAAAAGAAGGAAGCATTGATAATTATTGATAATTGACAATTGATAATTGATAAAATAAAGTTGTAAGAAATGAAATTTATCGTTGATAAACCAATGAAAATTTATTTATTTCATTTTTTCCTTTACTGATTTATAGATTTCAAGTGAAACGGTAATCATCGAAGCAATTAATGTTGCGTAATCGCTTAAATAATAGATCAATGCGCTAAGAATTGCTGGTATTTTAGTGATAAGATAATGACTTGTCACTGCCAATAGAATACTTCCGAATAATGCTAGAAAAAAAAGAAGATACTTTGTAACTTGTGAAGGTACTTTGTAACCTGTGATGAAATTATTTGAAAAGCGAATAATGATAATTGATAAAAAAATGAAGTGATAAGAATTGAAAAAACTAAAGTTTTTTCTTTCATTTCTTTTCTAGTGCTAATCTCGATTTGCTTCCACTATATTTCCACTAGATTTAAGCCGAAATCCTTTTTCTAGAGAATCACCTGTACAGATTCCTTTAAAAAAATAGTAATTTCCCGGGAAAGTATAAGGATTTCAAAGGATTATAAGAAAGAAAGTTTATGTCTCCGGCAGAAATAAATCTATTGTTTAAAAAATCCATATAATGCTGGCGACAATCTACCAGCATTTCTGTCACCAAATGACTTTCCAGGAAAAATTTCTCACCGTACTAATATTAATAGTTAATGGTGTAAGCTTAACGAGAAATGGTAAGCATTTATTTACCTTTATTAATATTTAAAGAAAAGTGAACTATGTATAATATTTATTAGATAATTTAATTTAATTAGATAATTAGAATATTGATTAAATTATCTTATTGGACTGATTAGATAAATTGATAAAATATTTTTTTAGTATTATTTTTAAATTTTTCTTTTTTTTCAGCACAAATACATCCTTAAACTACTCCTCTTATTTTCACCTTTCACCTAGTTAAGTTCTCTCTAATTTTTTTCACTACAATTTTTTTTATTTTTTATTTATTTTATTTTTTTAGAAACAAACCGCTAGCATATTTCGCTTTTAGCATCAAATTCTTAACGGTTAACATTTGCGAGAAATCAAATCTTCCATCAATATTATAGTAGAAGCGTTTGCCTGTATGATAGAGATTCACGCAATGAACGGCAACTGGTATAACGAAATATTTGCCTATTCGATCGGATTCCATAAATAAAATACAAATCTAAAATTAATCTTATCAAAAATTTCAACTAAATATTCGTAAAATCTGTTTAATATAATTTGTTTAAAACTCGATATTGATAGTGCGAAAGACTACGTAGGCAAGCAGTTAATCCTACCGGTTAATGGTACTAATAAAAGGATTATCAGGCTTATGAGTTTATCGAGATGTGGCGCACAGGATGAAAATTTAGTCGTAAATGATCTAAAAAAAAAAAGTTTTCACCAAATTTTCCAATGCAATAATATATTTTTTAGCGGTTTTTTGAAATTCATGGAATCATTTAAGCCTCTTTTCATTTATAATTAAGTCAAAAGGCTATAAAATCAGAAAAATTAAATTTTGAGTCCAATTTAGCAAAAAAAGAGAAAAATATTAAGGTAGTAAAATGGTTTGTTGTTCACGTTTATAGCGCCGATGGTAAGGTTCTACTGTAGAAAGTAACAAAATAACCATATGTTTTAAACATATATGAATGATGCGGTCAACTCATCCTCCTAGGCTAGTGGGGCCAACTTAAAAATATTTAGCGCTCTTTAAAGAAATTACAATCAAAAGTATTATTCATCTCAAATATGTGAGCTGTTGAGAAATGAGATCCTCTTAACCGCTATGCTTAGTGCAATAATCTTAGAAACACAATTTACACTTTGAGCCTCAAGCTATGGAATTATGCAAAAATTAAATTATAGTGAAAAAAAGAATAAAATAAAAAAAATTATTTGAAAATATATTTTATAGAAGGAACCTGTAGAACGAGAGCAATTAATTGAACCACTCGAAGTCTATAAATGATCACTGGAAATGAGTAACCGAGACTTTGCTGAGGCACTTCCATTTACTATAAATAAAAATTTATGATATAAAAAATAAACAAAAAAATTTAAAAATTCTTAAAATATGATAAAATATAGAAGTATAGCGGCCATTTTTACTAACATAGTTGTATGTAATCTTTGGAAAAAACTATATACTTTTGAATTTATTTCTGCATTTTTAAAATCCCATATGACTATCTTTATGAGTCATAGACTTAGACATAAGCTTAAATCTAACTGTGTGAATTAAGCGAGCAGTGGATTTAAGCTCGAGCTTAAGCTCTAAAGTCTTAAATCTATAAATTCTCTTATCGATTTCCAATTATTTCGAGAACTAGCGCATTGCTTTTCGCATTACGCATGTATGCAATTGCTATAAATAAGAAGATAATCCTAGGAACTAATTGCCCTAGGCTTCTCAAATACATTAATAAAAAACAAAGATATAGCCAAGCGGTTGTTGCTCACACTGGTTCTGGCTGTTCTATGTGTGAAACTATTGCCAAGTGATGACTCGCTGAGGCAAAAATTTCTTATAATTAACAGCCAAGGAAACCTAATCAAGAATGATAAACACTAATGATAATAGAAAAAACTTTAATAATAATAATTAATAATCATTAATATTAATTAATAGTAATAATTAGTATTAATATTTTAATATAATAATTAACAATAATAATTAATGATAATAATAATTAATAATAATATTTAATAATGATAAATAATTAATGATAATAATAATTAATAATAATAATTAACAATATTAATTAATAATAATAATTAATAATAATTAATAATAAAAATATCATAATTTAGTACTGCAAAAATATTGGAGAAATCAATTTAATTTCATAAAAATTTTCCTTTTATCAGTTCGATTCTAATTTGAGAAAAGAAAAACAAATAAACAAGTCGCTAGGAAAAATGGATATAATATGTGCAATTTTAATATTTACTTTTCGTTATCAGTGCTATTTTGTCATTATATCATTATCATCAAAATATATAAAAAAAATTTTGTTAATAATTTACAAAATTTTAACAGATTTTGTCAATAAAAATTTAAAAATTTCTGAAATTTCTTTATCGATAATTTCTAGAATTTTAAATGTTAAATTTAAAAATAATTTAAAATATTAAAAATATTTCTAAAAAAATATTCGAGAAAAATTTAAACAAACAACAACACTAATTACGATGAAATGAATAAATAAATTCGATATGTAATAATAATAAAATGAAGAAAGAAATTCGTTTAAACAAATTTTTATCGTTAAAATTCTAAAGAAAAATTTCTAACTGATCGATTTGTTTTTAAAACAATTGGCCAACTAATTTGTTTAAATTTTCTTTTAAAAATATTTTCATAAATTTCTAATATTTTTTTTTCATATTATTTTTATGCCCACTCGGTTATCCTTTCCTCCGTTAATTTTTTTTAACATAAAAAAATTTGAAATATTTTTTAAAATACTTTTTTCGATAGATAGGAACGATATAATGAACGATATAAAATTTAAGGAAAAAAATTAATAATATAAAAATATAAAAAAATAAAATATAAAAATAATTAATCAAAAAATTTAAAAATTTTTGAAATTCCTTAAAACATTCACGGAGTACTAATATTCCGAGAATTTTCTCATACTGCAAATATCTCAAGGATATTTATATTTATATTCGTGGATATTACAACATCCCGAAGATATTCACGCTCGTTGATTTTACCAATATTTACGTTCGTGAATATCACCAATTTCCCGAGGGCATTTATTTTTTATTATTGTTAGCCTGTGGATATCATCAATATCCCGAGGATATTTATTTTCGTTTTCGTAGATATCGGGAATATTTTAAGGATAATTACGTTTTCGAGGATATTTATCTCAGCTAACAAAAGATTTGCTTGAAACAATTATATTAATCAAATCAATTTATAATAAATAATTCTAAAAATCTTATTCAGACTTAAGTTAGAAAAATAAATTTTGCTCTTTTTATTTTGGGGCTTTAAGATTTATTATATATTAGTAGGTATGAATTCTGAAAAAGCAGTTGGTCTTTTTCCCCGAAAATAGACCAAATTTTTTTCGCATTTCTTATTGAATATCTTTTCTATTCCTTAAATCAGTTTATCCTTTTTACAAACCCTTTCTTACTAGCAAAATATCCAATTCTTATTATCATTAGGCCCATGTAGACCTTTGAGACTTTCAAGTTTCATCTTATTTTCATGGTACTTACCTCAGAACCGAGATTATGCCATGTTGCCATTGCTCAAAGTCTGCCCCATGTTCGCTTAATGCATCATTAAACTTCGCTATGTTTTGCCATACCAAACGATGCCTTAATTCCTATTAGAGCTCTAAGCACTTCGCTCATACCAGTCCACTGCTTCTTAACTATCTTTGATACCATTGCACCGCACCGCATTTTTTTTCAATTTTTAACACTTTATACTTTTTTTAACTCGCTAAGCCCTCGTGTGCTCTGTTAGCCCCATCATGAATAGTGTTCTACGACCAAAGTTCCTGTAGTTTTTATAATGGCACATCAAAACTTTTTTTTAAAAACCTTCATCATAATTTCAAAATCTTAATCCGCCGAACAAAAGCCCAAATTTACCAGCTGTGGGGAAAACCATATCAAATATTTTTAGTCATCATTTTTAATCTTTCTCTAGACCATGGCTTTGACAATATATTATATATGTTTGTCATGGCCCATAGTGCCCTTTCTTTCTAATATTTCCAAAAAATCCATGCGAATTTTCAATCCCTACTACCCAGATCCTTATCCCTTACTGTCTGGCATATCATTTTGGTGGCTGTATCAAATATTTATATTCTTTTGCCATAATTCATTAGAGATTCCATTTTAAACTCCAACTGTTTAGATCCATCCTACTGTCCTCGCTATTTGAGTTGTCGAATTGCTAAAAGTTCTCAAAATTGCTTGAATGTAATTTTATCTATGATAACATTTCTGCAAAACAGTTGTTCATTTGTCTTTTTTTAAGAAAAAAAACCGAATTAAAAAGAAAATTTATGAAATGAATTTTTTAAAAATTTCGAAATTTAATATTTTATTATTAACAATATTTTATATTTTTGCTGTAATTATTTTTAATAATAATGACATTTATATTTCAGACGGACCAGCGATATATGCACGGTGGAAAAAGGAATGGCTTTTATTATTGCTATCGGCGATGGCAATGATCAGACCGAACTTGGTCCTATTCTTGCAGCCAGCCTAATCAATATTGGTGAGAACTGTGACGATTATTTGGTTATTTATATTTTAAGACCGACACTAAGCATTTTATGGTGCTTGAATTATCAGAGAGGCCAATATAATGGCCTATTATAATTGAAATAAACTATAAAAACAATTGAATGACGTTAGAGCTTGAGAAAAAATAAAAATTTAATATTTTGATTTAATAAAATTTAATATTAATACATCAATATTTAATCTTCATTCTTCATTTTCATTTTTATTATTGTAATATTAAGAAAAATAATGCGGCTTTAAGTAAAATAATTAAATGGTTTGTGGTACTTCGTTTTCCGGCTAGAATACTAACAATCAAATGGTTATCCTTGAAGCACTTAAATTTTTTTAAATTTTTAAATTTAATCTGCTTTTAGATAATGATAGAAAATAAGAAAAAAAAGGAATATGCATCCAAAAAGCTAGGAAGCTGGAAATCGCCTTTCGAATTCTGTAAAGCATTTGGCATGAGTCAAGAACAAACTTGGCTGATTTATTTATTTAGGTACCGAGACTCAGTAAATTGCCACAGGCAATGTACTAGAAGATACAATTATCAACTGCCAGTGCCACAAAAACCAATAAATTAGCCACTGTAAAAATAAGAAGAATAACAACACGTTATTAGGTATGAAGATTAACGGTATCTGGATATTGGAAAAATACAAGAATACTCCATCAGAAGCCCTAAAGACTATTAAATAAACAGAGGCTCATGGAACTGGAAAGTATTATGAGAGAAAAACAAAATTCGTAACACCATTGTATAGTGTCTGCTACATTTGAGAACAAATGTTATCTTCCAGATCAAGAGCCCTAACTATTGACTTACAACAAACGACTCAAAAACGGGATATTACCTACATCTACCGGTTAAAGAAGAAAACAAACGCCTAGATAAAGTAATTCTCATCCAGATTTATTAGCACAAGGAAGGACGATATTGATCATGAAAGGTAAAATCCTCATAAAGAAACTATCCAACTACGGAGCAATAACCTGTCTATCCACAATGTGGGAAATCCTGTCATTTGCCATAGCCATTGCCACAAATTTTATGACCATATGAACGAGTATAGTACATGAGTACAGTTCAAAAAGGCATTGGGAATAGCATCAGAGACTCCAAGCACCAGCTGCTCATAAATAAAACAGTCACTGAAGATTCAAAACCCCGACTAGATCAATCTGTGCACAACTTGGCTAAGAAAGCCTATGACCTATGAATCATTGCCCCAAACATGAATCTGTGATTGTCTGGTTCTATGGAAAATCAACAGAATCCTAAAATACGTTCAGTGAGAATTCAATGGAAGTGTGGACACTTGAAGTCAACTCGAAACAGTTTGCGCAAGGAATAAAGAAGGAATAAATATGCGAAATTAGAGAAACAACAAGGGTTAAAAAGGGAACTATAAATGTGGAAAGTGAAGGCCAAAGTAGTCCCAGTGATAATTGAAACACTGGGAACTATGATCCGTAAAATTTTTTTTTTTGGAGAGTCCTCTCCATTAGTGTTGAAATGCGCCCTGCTGGCTTGTCGCATTGGACAAATATGCCATGGAATCCCTTGGCGACAAAGTTTACTCTTGCGGGGGATAGAACCTCAGCATCGATGCTTCGACTTGTGCAACAACCCACTGAGACATTCTATACTATAATTCGGAAATTAGAAGAGGACGATCCTTATCACCCACGAAGGGTAAGAAAAGGATTTTTGTTTACTGTGGAAAGAACTGCAATCTCAAATAGGAAACTTTGTGGTTCAAATTTATTAATTTGGCTAAAAACCTCACCAAATTTTATTACGAATCTCCAAATCTCTTTATCTTTTGTCAATAAATACCACTGCATCCTTCTGTCATAAGTTTTTAATAGTTTTCCTATGCGCCTACTTTAGCTCTTACCCTTTAACCTTCGACCTCTCGCAAGCTCATTTTGTTATTGCCTCGTTAAATTCCACTGTGCACTTTAGCTATGCCCTAGCCATGGGCAGTAATAAAATAGCAGTGAGAACATAATAAATATAGTGGGAAGTAAATGGCCAGTGGAGAAATTTGAAGGAGATTAATGGGAAATCGGCGATTGCAAAATCAATGTAGTAAGTCTCAGGAGTATTAAGGAATTTTGATAGGGCAAAAGAGGGCCTACGATTCGGAAGGCCTTTTTACAAACAACTTTTACAAACAACAAATAATTTTTTAATACTATACCATAATAAAACATGACAATTTTTATCTTTTTTTTCTTATCAATTATCAATGACAAAAGGAAAAAAAAAAGCAAAGAAATTGGGTGCCTATTTGTAATTACTTTTAATAACATTTGCAAATATTCTTCGTTATTTATAAATTTTTTGAGAAATATAAACAGAAGAAAAATATGAAAGTAAAAAGTCTAACAAATTATTTTATCAGTTTATCTTCTCTTATTTCTCATTTTACCATTAAATAATTTAAAATCATTTTCATTTCAATTAATCATTTTTATTTGCATAATTACAAGTACAATAAATTTTAAAATTGTTAATTTTTAAAATTGTTTAAAAATATTTCGATAGCAATAACTGAAGCAAAAAAAATTATGGTAAAAAATTATGGTAAAAAAAAATTTATGAAAATTTTAAATTTTTATTTTTTTATAAATAATTATTAAATATAATTATAAATATAATTATTAGTTATTTATTTACAATTTCGTTATAGCATAAATTCTTGGTTATTTATTTATTTATTTATTTACAATCTTAATGCAAGAAATATAATAAAATTTATGAAGATTTATAATTATCTTCGTTATGAATTATTCGAGTTGAATTACTCCTTATAATTTGTTGTGGAATCTGAAAAAAAAAAACAAAAATTTAAGTGAAACGCAGTTAAAAAAATTTTTAAATTTTTTTAAAACACTAAAACTGGTTTCCAATATAAAATTTGTTTGATTCTTTGATCAGTGAAAATGAAATAATTTTTTTTTTTTAAAAAACAATTTTTCAAAAAAATATTAGCAAACGATGGTCGAAAATAATGATTGATATCAATCATAAATCCTCCATGTTTTTATTCAAGTTGTTTTAATAAATTTAGCTGAACGAATCAACGAAAATTCATTACTTTAAATCGAAGTCTAAGGAAATGAATAATTAAAGGGAACAGAATGGCTCAGTGGGTTGTTGTTCAATTCAGAGCACCGATACTGGAGTTCGATTCCCCACAGGAATAAACCTGCTCAAAAATCCGGGTGATGATGGCGACTCACATGTACTTCTATTGCCTGTGGACTCCTTGGTATATTTGTCCAATGCGACAAACCAGCGGAGGAAGTTTAACCAGCAATGGTGAGGACTCTTAAAAAAAAATCTAAATGAATAAGTAACCTTTAAAATTGGAGCCAACGTATTTCTTTTCATATTATTGTTGCTACTATTATTAAAACTGTTATTACTTTTGAGAATCGATCGTTCATCATATATACGCGATGAATTTAATTGTACTGCTTTCGCCTAAAAAGTAACGAAATCAATACTCAATGAATATTTATGAATATCAAATGTTGAAATGTTGAAATATCAAATGAACTAATTTACTGCAAAATTAAAAGTAAAAAGCATACAAACATGAGTGGATCTATAAAAATGGCAATTAAAAGTACCACAGTTGTAGGTATAAGGGTTAGGATATCTATGAACACTTATGACAAATCTACTTGCTAACCCCTGTGATGGATGGTACTAAAAGAGAGAAAGACCAATCGAGACCTCAGAAGAAGTTTGGAAGGCATATATGGCTATCGTATGCATACATGTATATAATATATATATGTATATAAAAATCCCTTTTTCTCGCTCTCTATGCGTGGTTAAGATCATCATCGTCCTCAACCTCAGATCCTCTAGAGACTTAAGAGATTAAAGGTTCTGCATAGTATCTCAGCTGTTCCTAAAAATATATTCCTCTGGATAAAAGTTTAGTTACTCCTGGAATTTGTTGTGGCCACTTTTCTAATTTAGAGATTATAATGCTCTAGTTATCACTGGGCCATCATTTTCCATAAAAATATATGTATATACAGATTTCACCAATGGAAGAAGTGGGTTTTTGGATTTCACCAAAGGAGTGGGTTTCTTTCAAATAGGGTGACCAAACCGAGGAGTTTCGAAGCACCGTACTAATGTAACAAGTTAAACCAATAAAGATGCCAGATGAAAAAGGAGCAGTAAATTATCTCTTAAGCCGTTCAATCATTATAAAAGGAAGATTGAATAAATATTGTTTTTAATAATATTATTAATAATATGGAAACCTTTTTGCGTTTATGTTTTTCATAAACTGACGAACAACATAAATAATGCGCAAAAACATTGTCACGAAAGCCTTCGTTCATAAAGCAGTAAGTTATCGGATTCGTACAAGTACTTATATAAGTAAGAAGAGTCAATATTGTATTCATTGAATCATTATATACATGATAAGCCTAAAATATATATAATGGACAGAGGTAATTCTCTCTTATCAACATGGAAATTCCTTCATGAAATTCCCCACTGGAATTTACAAATATCAAAACCATTGAGAAGGTTACATACAATCGGTGACAGTCGGGTAAAACGTTTTTTTTATCTTCAATAAATCTACCCGTTTCGTATGATTGTCCGTATTTTCGCTTCCTACTAGTGAGGAAATCTACCGTTTTTCTCAAATGAATTTTACAGTTGGGCATTTCTTCGCATTTTTATCATGATAATCTAATCAGTAATATATGTGTGATACAAGTTGAATTTTTAAGTCTTAAAGATTTTCATCTGCTATAAAATTTTATAATAAGAAAAAATTAGATATTAAAAAATTATGCTAACCTCTAATAAATCAGTAGTTTTAATAAGTAACCACCATATAAAACTTGGTGTCCAACATATCAAAAACGCTATCACTAATATGATAAGCATTCGAGTGACTCTCTTCTTAGCAATTAACGCTTTCTTCTATAATTATATATAGTAAATAATAGATTTTTAGTTTAATTTAAATTTAATTTAAATATTTAAATTTTAAATTTTTTTTGAATCTTATAAATCTGCTTTTTACTAAATTTATGTAAAATATACACTCATTGTATAGGAAAATTAAGACATAAAAATTAATCATTATAGAAGGAGAAAGCGTACTCGATGAGTGCTTCGTAATAAATAGCTTCGATCGAGTACACCTGAATTTGTTTTCTCCATTAAGTAACTAAATGAAGATTGCCTAAAAATCATAAAATAATTATTATACATAAAAGGTGGAACTTTTTTTTCTAAGAAGAGTTACCATTTCTGGTTGGATTCGCACCACTAAAATTACAAGCAAAGTATTTAGGAAATAATTTGGCGAATACCAGAGAATCGCCAGAGTACCACAAGAATTTTTAAAACACAAATTTACTGAGAGAAAGAATCCATCGAAGGCAACAACCCTTCTTATTTATTTTATTCCCAAAATATATAGTCAGTTCGATAATGATGGTTCAACACTGGATGGATCTTCTCATCGTTACTGCTTAGGCTGGCTTCAACGGCTACAAGGGTAAGACGCAGCGCGGTCTGATGATATCGTCGACAGTAATGGAAGTAATGGAAGTTGACAGTACTGGATGGATCCAGAAGAATGGAAGAGGAAGAATGACATTGCTGGCCTACCTAATTTTAAGCAAGTGGATTCACTGATCCATTTGACTATAGAAATGCCTCATGCCATGCAATATTTAAAGACCATAGACACAACTGCATAGAAAATATAGATGCGCCTACGCTTACAAATCTTATTACCTATTAATTACGATGGATATTTTTTCAGTGCGATTGAAAAGTATTATTTTTAGAAAGAGAGGCCGCCGCTGAGCCAAGCAAAATTTGTGGTACTATAAAGTATACTAAATGGAACTTACCTTGTTTCTTTCCCTAGCTTCATCGCTTTATTTTCTCCACTCTCATCGACGCTTAAAAAATGCGAATTTTCTTCAATTCTTAATGATTTCGATTCGTCGATTTGCTGTTATAAATTAAAAATTAAAAATTAAATTGATTTTCTTAAAGAAAAACATTGATTTATTTTTTTATTTAATTAAAAGTTATATTCATTATTTGCGACAAATAAATCTCATAGAATTATCGAAAAATTCATAAATTTTTTAAATTAATATAATAAAAAATTCCATTTTTTTCAATAGTATAAAAAAATAGTCTAAATGAATATTTCATATCCATAAACCCATAATTCTGAAAAAAAAATTTTAATTCATGAAAACTATTGACTTTTAGGATTAGAAAAAATTATGGAAAATGATTATAACGATAATGATGTTGCGTAATTTTTTTGATATTATGATTAAAAATTGGCAAAAAATATAAAATTATAATTATAATAATTTTGTTTTATAATATTTAATAAATAATTTTATAATACTTATTTGTAATAATAATTGCAACGATTTTAATTTTGACCGAATAAAAAGTTTTCTTAATAATTATAATTTATAATTTCGACGATTCATTAATTTATTTAAAATTAATTGAAGATTTCGAGTTTTTTCGATAAATTTTATTTTATGGCATAAAATAAACTAATAGAGATGAATCGCCTTCTGACGTTTTACATGTAAATTGAAATTCATAAGGATAATTTCCCTAAGGCATTTTTTATTGAAATAATGAAATTTTATCAGAGCGTCTCGAAATTTTTTTTTTTGCCCTCGATTTGCATGACTATATTTTTATATTTTTCTATATTTTTACCAAAAGAAAATTTTTCAAATATTCTTTAATTTAAAAATTATTATGTAAAATTATTGAAAAAAAATGGAAATAATGGAGATATACTGTAATATTTGAAAAATTTTTTTTTTTCAAATTTTAATTTTTCTCTAAATAAATACTTCAAAAGGAAGGAAAACCAATTAAATAATTTTCTCTTCGCAATCGGAACTAAATAATTTCTACTTTTAATATCTAATAAAAATCATATAATTCATAAGTGAATTTCACTTTTTACGTAATAAAATGTATTTAATAACAAGAATGGAAATTTTTATATTAAAACTATTATAAATCCATTAGAGTAGCTTCAACTCCAAGTGGTACCTTCCTCGACGAAATAGGAGTATCTTTAGCTCTCCGAGTGATTCCCTTCTCGACAAAATATCCCAATAATCCCAATAGTGAAACTAGCCAAATCACATTAGGGAAAAGTATTTCTGAATTTTTATTTGATTCTTAGCACATTGATCGTAAAACATTTAATGAATGAAAACGAAACGAAAAAAAAATTTTTTTTCAATTATTCTTTGGAAAACAACGAAAATTATTACTTTTTGAGTAATTTTTGCATCATTTTGAAACGATTCCATCAGCAAATTGGTAATCCTTGATTTTTTCGAATAATCTAAATTTTATAAATTTTTATGAATTTTTCATTTATCATTTAAAATTTTTTAAAAAAATTATGCAAATAAATAAAATATGGAATAAATTCTATAAAAACTCGATCATTGATTAGAATAGATTAGTTGAGAGTGTCTATGCTAGGACTCTACAAATAGTAGGAAAAAAATCTCCAATAACCACGATAATGAACCTATGTGTACTTCTATCGCCAAGTGACTCGCTGACTTGCTCTGATAAATCACATTTGCTCTGAGTAATCAAATGTAAACTTATAAAAAATGAAAAAAAACTTATTTTTTAATAAATCCAATAGTGAATATTGAAAAATTATATTTATTTATTTTTACATTTTATATTATATTTGTATTATATTTAATAGCCAAAAATATTATAAATATTATAATCAAAAATATTATAATAATTTTAACAAACCATCTAAATTATTGTCATCGAAGTTTTTTACAGTAATAGCTTTGTCACAATCCAAATAAATAGCTGTTTTTAATGTTGCAATAACGTTGCCATATAAAACTACCATAATAGTCAATGGAATTAAGAGAAGAATCTAAAAATACAAACAAAATTCTATATTCAAAATAAATGAAATTATAAATAAATGAATGAGAATAAATTCTAAAATTTTATTAATTGTTAAAATTTTAAAATTTTATATTGGAAATATTTAAATAAAATTATATAAATATTTGCATTTAATTTAATTTAAATTTAAATACATTTTTTAATATAAATGAAAATATAGAATATTTGCCTATCATTAAAAGTTCAGCTGGCAAATGGTATAGTAAGTCGGAATTGTCTGAGCTTTAAGCCTGCAGGCTATTTCTTGCCCGCCAATTATTTAATAAATACGATAAAATTAGATAAAAATATTTCAAAAAAATAAAATGGAATAATTTACACTTTTTTTCTATCAGATTGAACAAGAATTATCATTTCCGCTTCAAAAAACTTGAACTTTTTTTATATTTTTGAGATTTTTTTATATTTTGAAGCCGAAAAAAATTGAATATGTTAAAAGTTGATGAAAATTTATTTGCTTAATGAATATAAAATAGCTCAGTGGATTTTCGTTCTTATTTCAGAGGAGCATCGATACTTGGATTCAATTCCCATGAAGAATGGGCCTGTTTTTAAGAAATCCCGGTGGTACTAGCGACCTGTTTCTACTTCTATCACCAAATGATTCTCTGGCAAAATTTACTTGCTTCTTTATTCATTTGAATTTATCTTTGTCAAAAAAAAAAACTAACAAATGTTAAATAAAGTTGATAAATAAAATCAACTAATGGTGATACAACTGAACGACAATTCCAAGCACTTTTATATGGCGATGCTTTATAAAAAAATAATGATAAAATATTTGAAATAAATGAAATAATCCAAACGAGAGCGATCATTGCAAGTGCTCGTCGCTGAAAATATATTAAATATTTTAATATTAAATTATAAAAATATTAAATATTTTTTATTTATTTTTAGTATTATATTTATATTTTTATCAAACATATTTTTACATATAATACTGATATTTAATAATTATTAATGATATTTTTTAATATTTTGATAAGATTTGAATAATTCGATAAGAATTTTCGATATTTTAACAGGAATAACAAAAATAGTACTTTAATTTTTTAAAATATTAATTTTAGAAAAAATTCATCCATAATTTCAAATTTTTTTAAAATTTATTTTGTCAAAGTTTTTTATTTGTATTAATAAATTATCATTAATAAATTATTTATGAAATGAATGGATGCTCGACACGAATCCATGTTTTAAAACATTTCTTCTCAATATAATTATGCACATTCAAAAAGGTCATGAAAAGGTCATCAATAAGGTCACTGAAGGGTGCTCATCACTTAATATCAATGAATCCGAATTCAAAAAATTCAAATAAAATGTAACGACTTATTTTTAATAGATCTAGTTATAATTAACAATTATCGATTATCAGTTATCAGTTTTTCTTTAAAAATGAGAAATAGCCTTAAGTCAAACAAATCTTATAAGGCCATGCAAAGGTCAATAAGGTCATCGATACTTAAATATTACTTTAGACTGCCATTTTCTTGATTGTAATGGCCGGCATATTGCATAAAAGCGTTCAACAGCAATAACAGCAAGCGTATAAGCAGAAGCTGATACAGCAACAGCTAAAAATAATAATTTCGATTTCGAAAATTTGAAAAACATCCAAAAAATTTAGATTTTAAATAAGAGAAAAACAATGAAAGGAATTCGAAAATTTTAATTTTTCAACAAATTACTTGTTAAATAAAAATTGGCTTATCAAGATTTTATTAAAAGAAAAAAAAAGAAAAGATTTTTAGTTCAAATATTTGAAAAAAAATTGAAAAAAAAATGGAAAAATAAAATAGCTTAAATTGAATAAAAGCTAGAAAAAATCAAATTAAATATTTAAAAATTTATTTAAGAAATTAAAAATTTTATTTTTTAATTGCTTATATATTATAATATAATTGCTTATATTTTTTTAATTGCTTCCATCGTCATCTTTTTAACGAATTATGAATTTTAATTCATTTCAAAAATTATTATTAACTTCAACAGTTAATAGTCTTTAAAAAAGAGTTAATTAAAGGAAAATTATAATTATTAAAATTATTATTATACAATTATATATAGTAAAATTTATACTGAAGCAAATAGAGTAAATAACTTTGGAATACTATAAAATAACTTACGCTGAAGGTAAGCGGCTAATTTACATAATAAAGGACCAAGAAGCCAGCATCGAGAAAGTTCGCTTAATAAAGTTGTCGGCATACACATCACCGATCTGAAAAATCACTGGTTTCAAAGAACGGAATAAATCTTTTTTCTTGGTTAAACTCGCTCCACTGGCTTATCACATTAGGCAATATGTCAGGGAGTCCCTTGGCAATAGAAATACAGATGAATCGCCAGCGTCACCTAGATTTTCTACCAATAAATAATTAAATTCTGAATAATCTAACGGAAAAACTAAAGAAGGTGAATGATTCTTTGTATGTTCCAGGAATGTGCAATGTTCAGAGCATCTCATCATATATATATATATATACGAAACCTGAAGGAATATTAGCAAGATTGCACCAAAAGATAAGTTGCTGTGAAAAAGCCTGAAGCATCAATAGAAATTGGAGAAAGACCGCGGAGAGGAAGTGCCACAGCAAAGCAAGATTCTCCATAGGTTGTACTATCTATAGATATTTGAAGTAGTTGGCATTGAGAAATCCGATCAGTAGTTGAAGAAACAAGGCTAAAAGGAAATGCTGATCATAGTAATTCAAAACAGGTAGAAAGCACCAGATTTAGTGAAATAATGATCTGCCACACTGGACAGAATCCAAAGTGCAAACCTTAGGTCCAATGCATAACAGCATGTTGTGAGATCCATACACTGCATTATTAAGCTACGGGCTGATGCTAGCGACTCACCTGTATTTCTATCGTCAAGGCACTCTATGGCATATTCGCCCAGTGCGATAAGCCAGCGGATCGATTTTAATCATAATAGTGAATAGTAATGGTGAAAACTCTTTAAGAAAAATTATTAAGCAGCTACTACGAAGATATTTGTATGGGTTAGATTTCTCCAAGACCAGAAACTCAGATGGGCTTGGAGAAAATAAGAATGAATAATAAGAAAAAGATCTTGTAGTACTTATCCGTTCAGGCATACAAGCAAGTACTGTCCAATCAAGCAAATATCTAGGTAGTAAACAAGAATCAGAAATCAGCACTAGTGCTAGAATGATAGGAACATTAGAAAGGAGGAATGAGCCATGAGAAATATCACAACCCGAAAGAAAAGATGCGAAAAGTGAAGATTAAGTGGTCCTAGGGGTGAAACGCTAGGAAACACATTCTCTCAGGCCAAACACATTCTATAACTATTCTATATGTAAATATATATATATATGTTAGTCTTAGTGCATTCATATTTTTCTTGCAAAATCTTGAAAATTCCATGCACCATTACAATTATTTTACGAATACCAGAATGGAAAGCGTAATAAAACCAAAAATATCTTAAAGACTCCTGAAATTGCAATTTTATTTCTGGCAGAAGTAAATTTATCTTTCAAAAATCTAAGTAATACTGGCAATTCACTCACTGCTATATCGCCTTGATAAAATACTTAGCTTAACTGAAATTAGCAAAAAAAAGTTCTTAGAGACGGTACTTTATCAAGTTTTTTTTAGCAATTATCATTATCATTATAAGACAATATAATTTAAAAAATTTACCGCATAAGATCAGCAATAGCCAAATTAAGAAGATAGATATTCGTTATTGAACGAATACTTCGCCGTCGTAATTTTGCAATCATTCCAATCACAATAGAATTACCCAATACTGATAGACAAAAAATAATAATAAAGCAAGTACCAATAAGGAAATTACGAAATGTAAATTCGATAATACTCGTGCAATTTTTATTATTCGATACTATTTGAAATGTTTTATTCAACATTTCTTCCGATCGTTTCGTCCAATTTAAAAAATAATAACTGTGATAAGCGAAATTTTTTTATCTCTCAAAATTAATTTATATTTAAAGACGAGAAATTTATTAAATGATGATAGCAAACTCGAAATTATCGGAATTAAATAAGTAAAGGGATAAGTAAATGATTAAAGGATTAAAGAAGTAAATGATTAAATGATAAAAGAATAAGTCAATAGGTATATTTGAAGTAAGAATGATTCCTACTGTCTCAGTTGATAGAATATTTGAAATATTATTCTATATTTCATTTTATATTATATTTTATATTATTCTATTTATTCTATTTTGACCAAATGATTAATTCCCTTAATGTTTTTTTCCTTAATTTTAGGTTCTTTTGATTTCTTTTTTACCATGAGAATTTGATTAAGAAAATCAATCCTTTTTTATTATTTTTTAAATAAAAAGAAATAAAAAATGAGTGAAAAATTTACAAAAAAATATATATTATTATTAATTTTACTTAAATATCGAAAAAAAAGTTTTAATTAAAATTCGGCAAACAATTCAGAAATATTAAAAAAATTCTCTCAAAATTCATAAAAAATATGAAAATGAAATTTTATTATTTATTTTATGGATAGAAAATGTTATTTAAATAAAAAGTGACATTAAATTCTTCCATAAATATTTCGTAGAAATATTTAAAAAAGGCAAAAAAACAAAATAAAAAATTTTTAAAAAAATTTACATCGGTCAAATTGTTAAGTTTTGTGAAGAATAAGCTATTCGCTGGTCATTTGGTTCAAAATATGGAATATTAGAAATATATATATATATCAAATGCAATATCGGAAATGTTTTTGAAACTGAAGCCTTTTCCAAATTTCGAGTTTTTAAGGATTGTAAATAGCGTCAAACTGAATAATTAGCTAAAATAATGCTGAACAAAGAAGTGGATGGATGCCCATTTCAAACATTTGTGAAGAATAGTCCGTAAGGATATAATCGTGTTTCTAGAAAGATGAGCCACTATCAAGAACTTCCCACTCCCGCAAATGGTACATAGCTTCTGCAGTGGGCAAATAGCTTAGCACAAAAAGTGAGGTACGGATAACTGGTAAGGATCCAGTTATACTTGTGTCCATCTCTGGCCAAAATTTTAGCATTCAACTTAGAAATACTGCATACTACGAGAAGGCTATTATCTATTATCTATTATTCAGTTTATAAAATTTATGGATTTTTTCCTTCTTTTAGCGACCCATTTCTTCCTTTTTTCATCCCTCATTTAAAGCAATTAAAGATAAGATAAGCTTGGATATTTGAAATTAATTCGCACGGGAATCATTGTTTCAAATTATTGAATAATAATCGTTGACCATTATGGAAAAATCAACGAGTTGTTTCCTTATTATTAAGTATTAAGTCTATGAATTTTTTCCAGAAAAAAATTTTTTCAAATTTTTCTATACGAATTTTCGATTTGAGAAATTTACATCGTCGTTTCGCATCTCATTGATATAAATTGAAATTGAAATAATATGTATAATAATAAGAATAATATAAGAATAATATAATCGCATATAATGATAATTTCGATTATATTTTATATCAAATAATATTAATCAAATTTTATGAATTTTTTTTCCAACAAAAATTTATCATGAAAAATTTTATTAATTTAAAAAATTTAATTATATTCATTTTAAGAGAAATTTCTTAAAATTTAATGCTAATAATTTGAGGAATTATAGATAATCGAGGAATGGTGTAATGATTAATTTTAAGATATTAAATGCGCAAATATATCGAATATTCTATTTTCGAAGATTATCAATTGCCTATATAAACCAGTTGATAAGATGAAGTATACAACAGTGATTTGCAGAAAATGCTTATCTCTGCTTATCACCATTCACTCCTGATTTCAAGAATTACAAATTCCGAACTTGTGATTTTGATATACGAATGTATAATATTGTATATTGCTCTGCTCCAATAATGTTGAATAATTTTAATAACAATAAAAATAATGATAAAAAAATAAATAATTGTATATAAATAAAAATAAATAAAAATAAATAAATAAATCATAATTCCTAATAGAAATAATGATATAATAATAACAGTAATTCCGAGTGATGCTAATGACTCATTTATATTTCCCTAGCAAATTATTATTATAATTATTATTATCCTTTTAGAAAGGGCCTGTCATAATCAACAGAAATCTTAGAAAATTAGGCTGATTCTCTTCATTTGACAATAAATCAGCTATTTTCATTTTTAAATTTTTAATTCTAATTCGATTTTTCTATTAATTCATTTCCTTAAAATTAATTATAAAATAGTAATTACAAAATAAATTAAATGATATAAAATAAATAAAAAAATTAATTACAAAATAATAAAATAATTTTTTTGCCTTTCCCAACGCATAGATCACTTAACCATTCTTTTTTTAGTTTATTAATTTAATAGTATTTCTTTTCAATTTAAAATTTCCTCTCTTATAAAGAAATTATTTTTATTTTAAAAATTTTCATTTTATCATTTTATATTTTTAAAAAATATTTTATATTCCAATGAGATTTCGCAATGCAAAATTCTTTTTTTTTCCAAATATGATAAGCGCCTTCTCCCAGTGGAATTTTATTCTTTTCCAAAAATATTATTAGCAATTGCAAAACAATTTTAATGGAAATTTAATGGAAGGATAGTCTCGAAAAATAATAAATAATAATAATAATAAATAATAGCGAAAAAATAACAAATAAAATATTATTAATAAATAAAGTATGATAATTTTATGATAATTATATGATGAAAATATGATATAATTTCGAGGTTTTATTCAAATTTTTATTCAAATTCAAATAAAATTTATTTATTTAATTTATGAATTCTTTTAGACCTTATGAATTTATTTTTTAAGCAAACAGATTCAAATTAAAATATTTATGCAATTAAGAAGAGAAAAAACTAAATAGGTTATTTCCATCATTACGCATAGCTAAACAGCTAAAAGCTTATAAGATAATATTAATGGCACAAATGCCTTGCAATAGTGTTGGTACTACAGCGACTTATTTTTGAAAAGTTTAAGAAAGATATATTGCAATATACTGCAAACTAACCTAAGCAAATAAATAGATATGTAATTGAGAACGGAAATAATAATAATAAATTCTAGTGGAATTTCAATAACTCATAAGACTTTCTACTGGATTTTTCAATAACTTAAAGAAAAAGTTATTTTCAAAACCTTATTAAAATTCAAACAACTCAAAAATTTAAATTTTCAGACTTGAATTTAATTTTATTTATATATTTATATTTCTATATTTATTTTATATATTTTATATTCTATATTTTATTCTATATTTTATTTATATTTTTTTATTTTATATTTTATATTTTTTAAAAAATTCTCACCATTACTGGTTAAACTCGCTTCACTGGCTTGCATATTAAGTATTATGCCAGGGAATCCCTTGGCAATAGAAATAAAAATGAGTCACCAGCATCATCCGGATTTTTGTACAGGCTAACTCCTGCGGGGAATCGAACCTCAGCATCGGCGCTCCCAATCGAGTAACAACCCACTGAGCCATTCTATACCAAATATTTTATATAGTTATATTTTGGATATTTTTTATAGATATATAGATATAGATATATCTAACATAGATATTTTAGTGAAAAAAAAATAAAGAGAAATATTTTAAATTTTTTTTTTTATTTTTATTTATTTTAACACAATATTTTAAAAAAATCCTTTTCTCAGCCTCTGTGGGTGGTAAGAATCGTCCTTATTTATCTGAGGTCTGGGAGATTGAGAATTCTGTGCAATATTTTAGCTGCCCTAGTAGTGCATTCTTTCTGGATCTGATGTTACCCTGAAACTTGAAGCTGAAGCCACTTTTCTAGTTAGAAATGAGTTTCAATTGCTCCAACTATCACTGGTATTGCTTTTACCTTTATTTTCCACTCGAGTTCTTCTTTATTATTAATAAACATTTGTTGGATTGGAATATTTTAACTAATTGTTTCATATGAAAAGAGGGAATCTATAACTTGTAGTCTAACAAGAATGGATAATCTTTCTATAAGTTATTTAACAGGAAAGGAAATTTTTATCGAACAATTTTTAAAAGCCTTCTTATATAATTGAAAAAAATTAAAAAAGGTTTTTTCATAATTTCATAATATATTTTCATATTTAATAAATTTAAAAAATAAAAAAAGCTCAAATAGATCAAAATTTTATTAAATTGTGAATCTTTAAATCATTAAATTCATATTTATTAGAATAAAATATAATTTTAGCAATTAAAATCAATTTGGAAACAAAAGGATTTATGGATTTTATGAATAAATATTCTATTTTAAATATTTTAATATTTAAATATTTTTAATATTCCATTTTCTATTTTTAAATATTCTATTTTTTTTGCTCGTAAAGTATTTGTTTAATAAATTTTTAAAAAAATAAATTTGAGAAATTCGAATACGATAGGTAATGCATGATGATTGAATCTATTTTATTATTATTTTAATAATTGCTGAACTCTACGATAGGCCACGTCAAAAGTGAGGAGGACCCATCAAGACCTTGAACGATACGGTCAGAGAGTTTTTTTGAACGCATTAGGCGCTGTACTGGTTTATACGATTGAAAAAAAAGGTGCTTCAAGTGGCTTTAAGGAATTGCACCGAATCAGAAAGCTAGAAAAGATTTTGCCTTAATTACTATTGCAACAAGTCAAACCAGCAATGGTGTGAACTATTAGAAAATTATTATTGCATATTCTACTCGAATGAATAGAACATTTTTGTTTGCTTAATCTATTTCACTAGAAAGAATATTTTTCTGAGAGTTTTTCTCAGAGATTTTGCATTAACTTTATGGAATTGTGGATTTGTACTTAAATCTATTCTTGGATTTATATTAAATGAGGGACATAATTTAATTATCATCGATAATTGATAATTGATGTTTGGGTTCGAATTCGGCAAAC